ATCTCAGGAGATGCTCCCGCCCAAATGTAGAAAACACTATTCTATTGAGATTAGGGAAGTTATAAACAATGTTTATTTGACTCTCATTGAACGTGGTGCCAGCAAGCAAGCATCTTTAGAAAAAACGGCCACATTGACGAAAATTCCAACATCAACTGTATGGAAAATTGTGAATAATCCCATTTCAGCGAGGAAAAAAAGAAGCGAAGAAGTAGATGAAAGTGATCAACATAAAATACGGCTTAAAATTTACCAGTTATACGAGGAACAAAGCGTGCCTATATTAGATATCTTAATTAGGAGGCTTGAAAAAGATGAAACCGGTGTTAAATGTGGCAGAATTATCTTATGGAAGTGTATTCAACACATGGGTTTTAGATTTTAAAAAATTGACAAGTTTTAATAGAATCTTTTTGAATTCGGAAATGACGACTGAAATATATAGAAAAAATTAGGATTTACATAGAACAAAGGCCCATTATTTACTTGGATGAAACCTGGTTCAACACTTATGATACCCTGGAAAACTGTTGGGTTGACTCAACTGTTGAGTGTAAAACAAACGCGCCATCAAAAAGAGGTAAAAGAATAACTATTTTGCATGCTAAATACAAATAGGTTTGGTATAGAGTGGCCACCCCCTCAAAGTTGTATCTATTATTTATTTATAAAAAGTGATGAGCAACATCCTAAATTTTTTACTGTAGCTTGCTAATAATTTTTATTAACAAATGATCACATTGTCCTACAAATAAACTGGTAGGATTTTTCAGTCCTACGCTTTAAAGTTGTTGGCCTCACGATAATACGTAATTCATCAGCAACTGTAGGACACCAAAATTAAATGAAACTTTATGACATTTTCTATCTAAATCAATTAATGTCCTACATAAAAATAGGTAGATTTCACTAGTCCGACAAAAAACAGGTTGCAAGTTCGACTCTTGAACATTATTCCTGCTTAACCTCTGAATTACGGTCTAACCTATAAATTTAGTTGAGCGTTTAACTTTTTTTTTGTTCTTAAAATATTCCTACAGCCATTATCTATGATGCTGTTTTTTACAAATGAGTTTAATTAAGTTGTTTCATTATAATTTATAATGTAATAAATCAACATTTGTTTTTTTTTTATATTTTTTGTCACGCCGGATTTTTTTTTTACTTGTTTTTAATTCATATCATTATTATGACAGTATTTGATCGATAAACTTTTGAAAAAGTAAGGTGATTATATGGGTGAAGTGAAAGAGAAGAGGGTAAATAAATCAAAATTTTATTTTGTTGCGGTACACCCATTCATTATAATACAAGTATTATAATCCATGAAAATTATAAAAAAAATATGTCGTTATTCATGAAACAATCATTCATTTTTTACTTTTTTTTTTTTCACTTAAACTACAAAACGAAAATAAAAAAAATTCAGCATTTTCATTTTACATTTACTTAAAAAATAAAGCATAAACTTACCGTTCATAAATATTTAGCTTTTACTCTGAACTCCTTGTAACAACAAGAGTGGTAGCCTATTGCATCGCCATCCCAATGGTCAGGCAATTCAGCATCATTATATTTGTGGTTACGATGCTTTTGAGCATGTAGATAATTTTTACAAGGGAGATAATTTTTTTTATCGTCTCTCCTTTTTCACGAAAATTAGGTTTATCACGGAGTATATTATAAAGAAAACACTCCACGATCACTTTCACAATTGAATGTTATAAAAGAAAATTAATTAACACGTGTTGACAAGCCAAGTAAGCAAAACTTTTTGCTGCGTGTGCTGAATACGACGTTGCTGTTACGCGCATGCGCGTCTGATGCGAATATATACCGCCGATTTGATATAAGTATGTGTATGTATACATATACTCGTATATTCGAATATACAAGTATGTACATGTAACCACGTTTAAGTTAGTGGCAATTTTCGATATTTTCCAGAGTAGGACTGAAAAAACCTACCATTTTAATTGTAGGACAAATGTTTTAGATTATTTACCTGATTATCTCCAAACTTAGTTAAAAAATCAGCTGTTGATAAATTGGTTAAGGCTTTCGCGGCCCGTTGATAAGCTATTATCTTCATTCGGGTTTAAAGGCCGTCGTCGATTGGAATTACTTCCTAACGTTTCGCTAGCACGAGTGGCGAGCTTCTTCAGAGGTCCTTCCATCTCCGATGTTGGACGTAGACTGACGATTTCTCCTGCGCAGGTAGTATTTATGCCGATTGGTGGAGGGCGGGGCTTGTTCCGCTTCGGTTGGTCTCGGGATATCGATCGGTACTGCTCGGGCGTTCCTAAGGATCGGGTTCTAAATTTGGTTGAGTCTAAGGGTCTCCTCCTTTCGGTTGAAATTGTGTGGGTGTTTTTGTATCTCAATGGCTTCCCTGACTAGTCTGTTGTGATAGCCGTTGACCGATGCTAGCAACTTACAGCTCTCAAAGTGTATCCTGTGTTCCCCGCTGCCCAGTGCGTGTTCAGCCACTGCAGACTTCTCTGTATGTCCTAGCCTGCAGCTTGCTTTATGCTCCTTAAGTCTCGTTCCCATTGATCTCTTGGTAGTTCCGATGTAGACCTTTCCGCATGAACACGGAATGCGGTAGACTCCCGCAGCTGAAAGTGAGCCCCTCTTGTCCTTCGCTGACCTGATGGTCTGCTGGATCTTCTTTGTAGGCGTGATGTCGTGTCTTTTCAATACTCTGCCAATCCTGTCGGTGACACTCGGAATATACGGCAGATATGCGTGGGAGGTGGAGGGTCGTTGTTCGGTATCCCGTGATCTTGATGATCTTGAGTTCATTGATCTCTCGATCTCCCTCTTACTGTAGCCATTTGCCTCGAACGCAGTTTTTAGGTGTTCAAGTTCCATCTGGAGGTTCTCCGGTTCGCAAATCCTTCGGGCTCGTTCTGTCAGGGTTCTGATAACCCCATACTTTTGACTTGGGTGATGGTTGGATAGAGCATGCAGGTATCTGTCCGTATGGGTTGGTTTTCTGTAAACTGTGTGGCCCAGTTTCTTACCTCGCTTCCTCACTAGTACGTCCAAGAATGCAAGTTGTTGGTCATTTTCAGTCTCCATAGTAAACTGTTCTCACAAGGATGTCGACGTCGCTTCGACGTCGTCTCACTGTTTACCAAAGTACCTCTGAAGAGTTGCTTGGACCTGGTGAACAGGATATTTCCTGTCGATATTTGCAAACTTTTTGAAGTCTGTCTGACCGGTAGCTATTTCGTGTGGAAGGGAAACTTCTACGAACAGGTGGACGGAGTGGCAATGGGAAGCCCACTAAGCCCGGTTATAGCCAACTTATTTATGGAACACTTTCAGGAAAAAGCGATCGAGACCTCAGAGTACAAGCCAGCAACGTGGTTCCGGTACGTGGATGACACCTTCGTGATTTGGAAACATGGTATGGACAAGCTCAACAACTTTCTGCAGCATCTCAACAGTCAGCATCCCAGCATCCAGTTTACTATGGAGACTAAAAATGACCAACAACTTGCATTCTTGGACGTACTAGTGAGGAAGCGAGGTAAGAAGCTGGGCCACACAGTTTACAGAAAACCAACCCATACGGACAGATACCTGCATGCTCTATCCAACCATCACCCAAGTCAAAAGTATGGGGTTATCAGAACCCTGACAGAACGAGCCCGAAAAATAGTTTTGAACAACAACTTTAAAGTGTAGGACTGAAAAATCCCACCAGTTTAATTGTAGGACGATGTGATCATTTGTTAATAAAAATTATTAGCAAGCTATAGTAAAAAAATTAGCATGTTGCTCATCACTTTTTATAAATAAATAATTAGATACAATTTTGAGGGGGTGGCCACTCTATACCAAACCTATTTGTTCGTAGGCCAAGTTTAATTTCAAATTATATATAATTAATAACCAAAACTAAATTGTTGCTGATCATTTTGGTATGGTCGCTAAATTGACATGATTTTAGAGGAAAAGGTTGGGCGTCTTGATGAAATGAAACGATTTCCAAAGAATTAGCCTGTTGCTCATCATTTTGAAAAAAGGTCCGGGGCTCCCGGACTATATATGAATTCAAATAAAGTCAGCAATGTATATGCAAACAAGTTTTACTAGCACTACGCCTTACCAAACATAATTATTGAAATTATGTATGAAAAGTATCGTAACGCCGCTGGTTCCCAGTGCCAGGATTATTCTAATTCGTTTCCCAAAATCTGAGCCAATTATTAATTTGATGCTTTTTATCTAATTTTTCAGACGTTTTGAATGTAAAAGAGGACCACAGCGACACGTAAGACAGGTTGAGATAGCTTTACGGCTCTGTAAACAAGAGAGTTGATAACCGATGCTTTTTAGGCCAGATGATGATGTGGGTTATTATTAGTTTCTAATTCAATGGTAAGACATATGGCTAAGAAAATCTTTTTTGACCGTGGGACCATGGAGCAGGAGTGGGATTAACCTTATGTTTTGATTAGCGTCATGTTGGACACCATAAATGTTTTAATTCCCAACACTAATAATTAACTCTTGATAATCGTAAATTTTTCAACGCGGTACGCTTGCGTGCTATGCAAATTTTATTATTGCCGAGGTCTCACAGCATGCAGATTTATCGGCAATATAATTCATTAATCCTCTTTAATTTATCATCGACGCTTGTACGCCTATGAGGCAAGCTAATTCGCAATGGCCGTCGTAAATAAATACAATGGAATGTTTTACGCTACTTTTCGTTACGCCCAAACCGTCTAGTCTCGGGTTTCCTAAAATCAAGTGCTGGGAAATTTGATTGAAATCTAAAAACGCAATTTGAGACAATAATGCGAGGAGACCCTTTTTACGTAACATTCTCATCATTTGCTTTTGAATTGAAAATTTATTGACACATGTAATGCATTCTCAACAACAAAATACATAATTTCAGAGCAAAAAAGTATTTTTTTATGCTTGGGATGATATACATCACCTGACAGCTACACGGGTGGGACCAATAAAACGCCGGCGATTTTCGAAATCATTTTTAATGCTTCCACTCAGATTTTGACGTATAAACTGTTACGGTAAATGCGAAGAGATTTTTGTTGTTGTTGTTGTTGTTGTTCCGGCTAACGCTAGAAGGCTGGACGCCCGGGAAGGAATTGTTTGACGATTAAAAATTTATTTAAAAAAAAAATTACTCGACCACAGAATACGATACACCGACATCTAAAGGTGGAATGGTTGGTTACGTTGAACAAGTAAAGTATGTACCTCGCGAAATTAAGGAAAAATAACGACGATAAAAGGTGTACCCTATCGAGTCTCCTTATATAATGTGTGTCTCGACTCCTACACGACTCGAAAGAAAATCATTTAGTTACGTAATAATTATTAAATTTAATGAGTGTTACTTGGTTAAAAAAAAAACGCGCGACAGTCAAAATGTCGAGAACCGTATCATTTTCTTTATGTAGGAAGATTAATTTAATTGACCGCAGTCCGCCACGGTAATCTTCTTCGAGGTTTTACCCGACTGGGATCCCAGGGCTTCGATCTTTTTCACGATGTCCATCCCTTCGACGACTGCCCCGAACACGACGTGCCTGCGCATTGAAAAACATTCGTCGTTATCATTCTATTTTATGCTTTGCAACGTTTTCTTCTAAATTTGAGGAGAGGTTTTGCAAAAAAAATATTTACAGGGAGGGGGGGGGGGGCGTTTTCTATTTGAATAGGATATTATATAGGGTTAGTCAGATTTTAAATAAAATACACGACTTGCTACAGAAAATTGGCCATAACTTAACTACCAATTTTTGTAATAACAGTTATACGTATACAGTCGAAACTCTACATAGCGAAATTGAAGGGACTGCTTTTGTTTTTCGTTATAATACGCATAAGCGCTCTGTAATATTTAATTTTATATAAATAGTTAAGAACTACACTTAATGTACAAAAAAAAATTCTCTAGCAGCTTAACTAAATATAAGCCTTGTTGAATGGTTGGTGGTGGTCCCAGATCAACTTCTTCGTCTTCTTCTTCCTCTTGGCGCTTTTCCTCACCCTTTCTTGCTTGTTGTAATGTGACTTCCTCTGTCAAGTCTGCTGTTGTAGGCAAATCCTGATTTATCACCATAAAAACTTGCAACTCCCCACTTGTAAACGTAATCTAAGTTATCTAAGAGAAGCAATATTTTCCTCGCCTTTAATTCTACATCCCATTTCCGTACCTCCTCTTCAAAAATTTGTGATGTCATCGATGCAGACTTGTTTGCCGGCAAATGCTTAATGTTCTTAAAACATTGTGGGTTAGTTAATTTTCCAATGACGACTAGCTTTCTGTTTTCTCTCCCACTCGTATTGGCAGCTACTAATACTGTTATACGTTCTTTAGAAAGTTTTCCACCCACACACTTTTCGCTTCGAAATTTAAGCGTCGTTTTGTAAAAAATACCAGTTTCGTCAGCAAGGTACTTTTCTGCTGCCACGTCTTCTTCAGCCAATGGTTAGTGACGTTTCTGTCGACATCGCGGGCTTCGCCATAATTATCTGTCCATAATTTATACCGTGTCTCTGAACTTCCCCAACCATCCTTCCGAAGCCTTTAAATCAACAATGACAAGTTGTTCAGCAAACTTTCTGCTTATAGTTTTACGATAGGTCCAGAGAGTGGTACATTTTTAAGACGTTGCCGTTGGAACCACTGCAACATTGCTCCATCCAAATCTTCAAATTTTGGCTTTCTTAGTTTTTTACTAGAACTGCCTGCCGCTTCAGAATGAATTTTTTTTCTTTGCACTTCCAAATCGTGGATACAGTCGACGGTGTAAGTCCGTATCGACGTTCCACGCCACTTTTCTTTTCTCCCCGTTCTATCTCCCGAATTAAAGCAACTTTATCATCTAGAGATAAAATTTAGTTTTGATGGTCATGCCAATGTAGAAAAAACCCATTTTTCTAAAGGCCTGTTTTTTTCGTAAAAAAAGTTCATTGCAAAGTCAAGCGAATAATTAGAATTTTTAAAAATACATACGTGGGGTCAAACACTTTTTTGTTTAACTTTTTTCCGTCAGTATCTTACTTATTGACATCAGGTATAGGAGCATATTCAATGGACCACCCTGTACGTTGATACAGTGGTTCAATTTGCAGAAAGTAGATGGACAATTTTGTTTAAATTTAAGAAAATTGTGTGTTAGACTATGTTCATTGGAGAGTTATCTTTCTTTCTTTTCATTGTCATAATTTGGAATAAAAAATAAATCCACCTATTTATTTGCAACACCCGATGAATAGATTTCCGGTGACATATGCATATACAGACGACTGTTTGGAAACACTGTTTTTTTTTTATTAAGACTTATTTTTACTGGCCTCTTAGACTATTTTAGACTATGTTCATTGAGTAATGTTTTATTTTTGTTTTTTTTATTGTCATAATTCGGAATAAAAAAAAAAAGATTATACGTGGTAATACATTGCCAGTAAGCAAGTATGAATATGTAGAAGACTGTTTGGACGCAATGTTTTTTTTTTCATTAAGACTTATTATTTTTATGGGTCTTTACTATACTTTAGACTATATTCATTGGGCAATGCTCATTTTTTGTTTTTTTTTATTGTCATAATTTGGATAAAAAAAAATAGGTGATGAATACATTTCCAGTAAACACTGTTTTTTTTTTCCATTAAGATTTATTTTTATTACTTTTTTAGACTACTTTAGACTATATTCATTGGGTAATGCATTTTATTTTGTTTTTTTATTGTCACAATGTGGAATAAAAAAAATATGTACGTGATAAATACATTGCCAGTAAGTATCCATATGCAGATGACTGAAAACTGTTTTTTTTTCATTAACATTTATTTTTATTAGCCATTTATACTACTTTAGACTATGGTCATTGAAGAGAATTTAACACAAAAAATAAATCCACCTATTTATTTGCAACACCTGATGAACACATTGCTCGTAAAATATGCATATACGTACGACTGGTCGGAAACACTGTTTTTATTTATTAAGACTTATTTTTACCGGCCTTAGTGACGAATACATTGCCAGTGAGGAAGTATGCATATACAAATGACGAGTTCGAAATGCTGTAGTTTTTGTCATCAGCCTTTTAAATTACTTTAGACTATGTTCATTGGACAATGTGGTTTCTTAAGGCACCGAAATTGAATAGGTTATCTATCGCGCGCATGGTGTCGCCGTTTTGCTTCAAGTTTGACAAAAAATTGGACACTTTTAAATACCTGTTGTCCAGCCAGGACGTCTTGACGGTAGTGATAAAGAACTGGGACCCGTTGGTGTCCGGTCCAGCGTTCGCCATGGACATGATCCCGGGTCCTGTATGCTTCAGCGTGAAGTTCTCGTCGGCGAACTTGCTACCGTAGATCGACTTGCCCCCGGTACCGTTATGGTTGGTAAAGTCTCCGCCTTGACACATGAAGCTGGGAATGACGCGATGGAAGGTGGATCCCTTGTAGCCGAAACCCTTTTCGCCCGTACAAAGGGCGCGGAAGTTCTCCGCGGTCTTGGGCACGACATCGGATCGAAGCTGAAGAAAATCGAGTTTTCACAGTTAAATTTTGGCCACCGACGACGCCAAAGTCAAAGTGAAAATTGACATTTCTCACTAAAATGCGCATTAACCCATTTTGACCCAGTAAATATTTATTACAGTGAAACAAAAGATGAACATGCAACAATTAGCATGTTCTTTAGTATTAGTTTGTGCTTCGCGCAGGGAACGTTACAGTTCGTAATATATGGTATTTTCGAGGTACTTGACTCAAAAGGAATTAGAGGCGGCTATGGAGGAGAACGTGATGGACTTTTAAAAACTGATAAAACAATTACTCAAAGAAATCTTGCACCTGCCATAGATGGAGTGCGTTATGATAATCAAGGTCACCTCATGATTGTTCATGCTAATAAAGCCCGAAGGAGATTGTAGAATCTGCCACAGCCACACAATTTACGTCTGTAATAAGTGTAATGTGCATTTACATACATCATGTTTTGTAAAATATCACCAAAAAACCGGGTGTTACCAGTGGTGCACTCACGCACCATAAAATGTTATGCGTTTTTTTGTATCAAATCAGGTTCTATTTGGAAAACAATCTACTTTTAGTTGTTTTCTGTCGAATTTGAACTTCCTTTTGTATATTTGTATGAATTATATGTTACATTTTATGTGCCCCAAAACATTTAATGTATTTTCCCAGTGGGTCGTTTACGCACCAGTATTTTTTTGAATGTTTCGATTTTTTTTTCTTTTTTGACACGTAATGTATTCTTAAGTGTAACAAAATAAATAATTTCAGAGCAAAAAAGTATTTTTTTTATGCTTGGGATAATATGGGTTAACACATTTCGAATAAGTATTGTACAAGGTGTCCCATTATAAATTAGCAAATGGATAACTTTGTGAATATTGAAATTTGAAGGAGGATTCTGCAATCAAACATATCAAATAAAAATTATCTGTCACGTCAATTGATTTCAAATATACATGAATTGTTGGGGTTATTTTTGACAGATTTGGAAATATCGCGCAGTTTATCTAAAATTGGATGTAAGGAAGTCAATAGCCATTGCTTCGAAAATCAAATTATATTTATACATATTACATTTTTTAATAATATAACCAAAATCAGGCTACTGCTCGCACAAAAAATATAAACTTATAAATAAGTAGGTAGGTAGGCGGTTTCGTCAAAAGTAAAAGAAGGCAAAGAAACAAGAGTCAAGCATGTCAAATATCTTTTGTGAAATAAATTTAAAATACTAAAGACGATATTTTGGTAAAACGTTTTTTTTGATAATACGTAAGTATTATATGGTATATATAGTTTGAACTGAGGTGGCTTTTACATGATGAAAATCCATTTATCAAAATAAATAAGAACTAAAAAGTTCAGATTTTCACGAAATTATATATTTTCTTTCACATGACAATTGTTTCGAGAACATCTTCAGAGAAAAAAAACAGTAAACCAGGTTGTGTTGCATAGAGACTTGTCAAATTTTGAAGAATATTATTCTCTGAATAGATTGTTAACCCTGAGAAATATCACTGTATTTTATTTAATAAAAAATTCCCACAATAGCAAATTTAAATTGAGAATGAGCTTTTGCTTTGAAGCCTTTAAGTACAAGAAGTAAATAAGTGGATCTCAGAAAGAAAATGAAAATTGATCGGTCGAAACCATGCGATGGGCAGCGAAAAATCTAGATAGAGATTGTTCAAATCCACATCATCCAAAACATTTATTCTGCGCTTAATATTTCAAATACTTATACTTTTTTAGCTTTTGATACTGAGTCTCGAAATTCATTAAACGGTGGTGAGGAAATGCCTATTTCACATATTATCCACTTTGTCGGCAATCATTTTTGATAGATATTTTACATTAATATTTTATAATTTCATTTATAAGTTTTTTGGCTTTATTTTTGTTATCGAGCAGTGCTTCAATCATCAATTGTTCTCTAATTGTGGGAATTGCATGTAATATCTTATAAAAATAATTAAAAAAAGTGTAATAAGTAATATTATTTATTACAAAAAAAATACGCATATATTAGGAACACATGACGTCAAAATTTTACTTTATATATGGCAGGTATTTGACAATAACTATACAGTTTGTGTCCAGATGGGCTGGTAAATGTATTACGATCTCACAAACTATTAAGAGATAGAAAAGCGTTAAAATGTTCTTGGCACTTTAAATGAGAAATTATGGTGTAAGAAACACACAGAACATGGACTTTTGGCGGGATTTTATTGGGAAATAAAAAAAAAACACGTTTTTTCCAATCCAAAATAAAAAATCCAGGTCTAAATCTATCTCCAATAGTTTTCCAAATCGCAATATATTCAACACCAAATCTCTACACACTATATGCCTACAAAAACTTGCAAATATAATCACACAAATCGTATTTTTTATCCACTCTTGTGGTTTGGCCTACAGTTTCAATACTAAGGCTTAGATCATAAGCAAGGTTAAGTTCTTATTCAAGTTCCGACGCGACGTGCCGACTAAAGACGGATGTCGGTGATTACCGCATGCAATTGCAATGGGGAACCAAATTCACGAAGACCCTAAACAACCTGATAAACAATTATTGTCAACTCAGTAACGCCAACGTTAACGATGAGTCACCCAAAAAAAAAACGAGAATTCGGTTAACGACGAGGGAAAGAAAACGCCAAGGAACGCGTATTAATTATTCAAAAGCTCGGCGAATTAAACACGCGTTCGAGATCGAGTCGTTTTTTATTTACGGCCGGCCACTTCCGTGAATTATTCGAACGGATTCAATTAGAACCCGTGAAAAATCAATTAGAACCTTCCTTTTACCAGAATGTTCGATTCTCGATAAACTCGTTTTACGCTCATCTCGATGATGACCTTTGAACTAACATTTCTAGGACGAAAATTTTCCACACAACGCGGTTCCGATACACAAATATCGTCCGCGTCATTATCTCGCAAGAACAAACGGTAATTTATCAACCCGGATACTCCTAAGACGCGGAATGACGAATCAAAATTCTCAAAGGCCGTGCCGTTTGTCTCAGAGACAAATGGCGATCGATTATAAAAGATACCACACCGAAAACGGTCCGGCAAATATCCTACGCAACCGATAACACGAACCCGATCAAAATCCAATCCCGAAATGGTTCCTAACGGAACGTGGTGTGTATACAAGCACACCGCACGCCGAGGCAAAAAACACGAAAACTCGGTTAAATATCAACTCACCTCAATCACGATGCGACCGAGGGGCACATTGTCCGCACTCATGTCGAAAAAAACTCTCGGCAAACCCATTTTCGAGCAGAAACTTCGCAAACTCGAGATGGCGACAAAACCTATTCTCGCGGAACTTGCAGTTGCACACCTACCGGCGAATGCGCTATGAGCCGACGCGTTGACGAACGCACGAGGAAAGACGAAGGCGGCCATGTTTCGCCGGAAGTACGGCGCTAGTCAAACGCGCTTCCGAATTTCAAATATTTGCGGTTTCGAATTAGTCCGTATTGTTATTTTCGGATTCCGCTGGTTTTTTTTTACGATTTTATGTAAATACGGACAACGGAGGTTTTGACGGTTATGGTAAAAAAAATTACGCAGTTCTGTCTTTAGAGAAATGCCGTTTTGGTAGAAACTTTGCCCGCTTTTTAACTGAGGACGTTCGGTTCTAGAAAATTATTGCCAGTGCTGCCAATGGCGGAGTAGCAATAATTCGTAAACAAAGAAAAAGAAAATTAAACTAATCAAAACTAGATACTTTTTTTAATATGCACATGGCAGGATCTGGTACCTTGTATTTTAGTGACTTTTAATTTATTACTTGAACAATTAGAGAACCACTAGGTCTATCTGTTAGGAAAATTTTAAATCGGCGGAAAAATAGGTAAAATGTCGATAATGCAGTGTTCTTTAGCGAGAGAACAAGAAGCCCTGTGATTTTTAGATCGTCATTTCAATGAGGGCCGACGTATCTTGGAATGCGTATCTAGTAAATAGGATAAAAATTTTTGAGATCGTTTAATTGGGTCAACTTTTGAGCGGTTTTGTTTGGACCTTTTGCGAAATGCAAGCACCTAAGTGAATGATCCTGGTAGTCGTGGCAATAGAAGCAAAGAACCACGTAAGGAAGTGTCATTTTCCCGATGTTTTCACTGAAATTGAATACAAATATGGCGTGAAAAACAATGATGATGACGGCTTCGAAGTTTTTGTCCCACATATCTCTTAGATAATATGGTGGCCCTACTGATGCACCTCGGGCGGCAATTTTATTTTTGTAGAGGAGGTAATGATTTTCCGCGCATGCCTCTACTCAATTGCAATTTGCGATACTGCCATTAAAATGCCGCATGCAGTCTGTCAGTCGCCATGTCGGTTGTCAAATGCGGCAAGGTCATTTTGGTAAAAACCAAATTTTAAATCTCGCGCATGCGTTTATTGACTGGACCATATCTAAAACTTTTTCGTAGTTTTTATCGTCGTTCGCAAGTTTCCCGTGCAGGTGGGGCGTCGGTCGTTTGTGCTCGCGAGTTCCATGTCGCATACGAAAATTCTTTCAAAATTTCACCAAATTTGGTGGATATGTGTTTTGGTTTAACGTGTGGTTTTTCCGCCGAATCAAATGCCAAGAAAGTGCTACGTAACTAAAACTAACCTACCAGCGAAAACTTTTGCAAATTAAAAGTGTAGTAAACAACTCTTAATCACTTTGCGAAGTGTGTTATTATTTCGTTTTTAATTATTGTTATTACTTTTCAAGAGAGGACGAGGGTCAAAGAAATAAGCCAGATTGTGCCGAGTAGGCAAATTTATTCAAACTCAAAGGGCACTCCAAATTTATCGCAAATTATTTCGACTCCTCTCTCTTCGCGTCGTCGTCCTCTTTCCTGTCCTCTTCCTTTCTCGCCGTTTTCCCGTCTTCCGTCTCTTTCTTCGCAGTCTCCCTATCGCCCGGCTCCTTCTTCACGTCCTTTTCCCACCTTGATTTCTCCTTGTCGCTCTCCCTCGGCTCTCTGTCCCTCTCCTTCTTAGCGTCGTCTCGCTCGCGATCCCTCCTCTCTTTCTCCTCCTTGTGAGAGACCGTCTTCAGGACCGGATCGATCTTATCCCGGATATCGATCAGGGTCGTCTGGAACAATTTCGAGTGGGCCTGCGAGGGAAAAAAAGAAATAGACGTAGCCCCCGCCCCCGCCCTTCCCGAGCGCTTACGTTGGCTCTTCCCAGGGAATCCTCGGCCGTCCTCAGTTTCTCTTTGTACTCCTTCAGCTCCGAGTGCGCGTGTTTGACGGCCGAGCTCGACTTCGAGTATCTCTCTGTCAGTCGCGCGTTTTCGCTCTTCAGGTCGACCATGCGGGCCTCGGTCTCTAGCCTAGCAGCTTCGCTCCTCTCTAGCTGCGTGAGCAGCTTCTCTACGTCGACCACGGCGCCACCGTACGTCACCAGGCCTGAAACGGGAGCCTTAGGCTAAGAACATAGTGGCGCGACGAGGATAGCGTCGAGCAAGCCTCGAAGTGCCAAAACATAGTAGCCGAATACCTGCATAATATATTACTTTCATTTGTTAAAATAAATAAGAACTAAAAGTGCAGATTTTCACGAAATTATATATTACGACATGACAATTGATTCGACAACACCGTGTCTTTATGTAATATTTGATTTTTTTATTTTGATGATTGATTGATTTGATTTTATTATGATAAAGACACGGTGTTGTCGAAACAATTGTCATGTCATAATATATAATTTCGTGAATATCTGAACTTTTAGTTCTTATTTATTTTGATAAATGGATTTTCATCAAGTAAAAGCCACCTCAGTTCAACTTTCATTCATTTATTGTGAAGTTAAAATATTATCAGCGGTAAAACTTCAAGACAGTAGTGCCGCTAAAATTTGGTATCTTCGTAATCAACAAAGAACAAGAAATTGTGGTGTATACGAAATTTTTAAAATTCGAAGAGAGTGTGGAGAATTTCATACTCTTTTCGAAAAGTTGCGGCAACACCCCAGAAGATTTTACGGATATGTCGGAATGGAAGTAGCCACTTTTGATTATATTTTAAGCCTGATAAATGATCAGTTAATAGAGAACCGGACCAATTTCAATCTGCTTGTCTTTGCGATAACGCTAGCTCTGGTTGCTTTGGTGTAGAATCACCCGATGTATTGGGTGAGTATCTTCTGAATAAACAAAATTACAAACTAATTATTGTATTTACATCCGTAGCAACATTTTACTATTAAAAAAGGCTACGTCTTCGTCGTTAATTTCCTCGCATTTTTCAATTTTCTTTTTTCGATGTCCAACAGCCCGAAATGGTCATTCGTTTGCATTTCGTTTGCCACTTCATTTCCATTCACTTGTTGTTTATATAATATTGGTGTCAGATAGCAATTATAAAATTTTTATTTATTTCTGAATGCTGAATTGTTTATATATGTTTTTACCACACAATAAACAATTTTTTTCTCCTATTTTTAATAATAACAAAATTATTCACAAATGATCAAAAATTAACCATGACACAAAATTTTCAAATAAGTAAAAGTTAATTGAGAAAAGATCAGAGAGAAAAGAAACAAATATTATTAGTTTAAATATGACGCAAAAAAAAAAACAAAAAAAATATGTCACTGGCATATCACTAAACTGCATAGCAGTTTGTGCGTGGTTTTCAAGTAACTAAATTTAATGGTAATAAATAAAAGAAACTAAAACAGATTCGTGCCTCCCTAATACAGAAACGGTACCAAACAATTCATTCTAAATATTATTTTTTAATATTTATAAAAAGCAAAAATGCCGTCGATTGAACTGAGGTGGCTTTTACTTGATGAAAATCCATTTATCAAAATAAATAAGAACTAAAATTTCAGATTTTCACGAAATTTCGTGAAAATCTGAACTTTTAATTCTTATTTATTTTGAAAAATTCAACCACCACTTAAAATACAGTTAAGTCTTTAAAAGCATAAATTTTATGTTAGTAATTTTTCCCAGCTATGATTAAAAGTATGAAAGTGATTTATTTTTCAAATATAAAAAAAAATTAAAAAAAAAACATGTTGGCATACTTTTATTAGAGAAATAGTAAAAAAACGGTTATAATCGTTATTTAACGAAAATTTTTAAATAAGTGAAAGTTAATTGAGAAAAGATCAGAGAGAAAAGAAAAAAATATTATTACTTCAAATATGACGCAAACAAAAAAAACACAAAAAAATATCACTGGCATATCGCTAAACTACATAGTAGTTTGTGCGTGGTTTTCAAGTAACTAAATTTAATGGCAATAAATAAATAAAACTAAAACAGTTCGGGCCTCTCCAATACAGAAACGGTACCAAACAATTCATTCTAAATATTATGTTTAATATTTATAAAAAGCAAAAATGCCATCACCACTTAGTAATTTTTGCCAGCTATGATTAAAATTACAAGTGATTTATTTTTCAAATATATAAAAAAAAACATGTCGGCATACTTTTATTAGAGAAGTATTTCATTTCGGTTCAAGAAAACGAAAACGAAATTTTTCGTTTTTGTTCTAATAGGAAACGAACAAAATACCATTAAATGAAATGAAATGGCCCGAGGAAAGGAGTATGGGCCTATCGTAATAATTGAGTAACCTGATTATCGCAAAAATGAACTATGAAATTAAAAAAAAAGGTAATTTAATTGTGATCGGAATTTTTCGTTTTATTTGACAATGCCTTACGATTTTAATTGTTTTTAAATAATTTCATTTTTCCGAACGGGTTCCCTATTCCGCAACGCCGCGTATCACTTTGCCCCTCCCCCGGCTCACCTGCGTCTTGGGCGACGGTGGCGCCGCCACCGTCGCGATCTCGAAACACGGGCAGCAGTCTCTTGTTGCCGATCGTCGTCTCGTCCGTTTCGGACGTCGGTTCCTGAGGCTCCGCCTCCTCGTCCTCGCGCGGCCTATCGGTCAGCTTGCGGTAGTGAAGCGAGTCCCTCGCGATCACTTTCCCGATCAGTTTCTTCACTTGGGCGCGCGACATGCGCAGCCCGAGCGTGTAGATCAGCTCCTCGACGTCCTTGTCGAATATATAACCGCAATGGGTCTGATCGAAATAGACGAACGACAACAGAAGCCGCTTGTCGCGGGTGTACAACTTCTGCGACCTCTGCTGTTCCTTTTTCTTCTTGTCGTCCGCGTCGTCCTCGTTGCCGCTATCGTCGGAATGTCGCCTCTTGTTGTCCCCGTCCTCCGACTTTTGATCTTTCGCGTCTTCGTCTTTTTTCTTGTCGTCGCCCCGTTTCCTTCTTTTCTCCTCCTCTTTCGGCTTGTCGGGCAAGTCGTTGAGCGCGCGTACGATATTGAATCCGAAATCTCGCATCAGCATCTCGTTGAAGAGCTCGGCGAAGAGCGACACTTCGAACGAGTGCTCCTTGGTGTCTTCGGGACGGTAATCGAGCAGCAGAGACAACGACATGACGGTACAGTCGAATTTGCCCGACTTGGCGGTCTTAGACGGGTGGACGAGGAGGTGGGGCGTGTCGGGGAGGGCGTGGCGTTTCTCCAGCAGCGCCCTCTCCTTCTCGTCGAGCCGCTTCGGCTGGAAATCGGGCCCTTCGTTAATTTTAAGAGGGAAAGTTGAGTGAAGAATGAGGAGATTAGGGATTGGTGCAAGGGGGCGGGCACACAAGGCTTTTTTTTTAATCTGACACACAATAAACTAACATTTTCGCCCTATTAGTTTACTCTGTGTAATGTCTAAAATATTGGACAGGGTTATATATGATCAATTTAATAATCATGTTGCCGATTCGAATATTTTGCCTGCCTCCCAATCTGGGTTTAGGCCCGGGCACGGTACGACCACAGCACTGCTTAATGTCACTGATGACCTCTTTAGTCTTCGATTTAACCGACACCGCTATTGCTTTTATGAAAAGTTACTTGGAAGGTCGCCGGCAGGTGTCTCTGCCAATTATAAGGCGAGGTCCGCAGATGATATGGAAATATACTTATCATTCTCGGTCAAAGACGTAGCTTTGTCTTACAATGGCATAAAAGAGGATCTTAAAGTGGATTCGGATTCTCAGTGGTTGAATTTGTCTGAAAGATACATGTTCCCAAGCCTAGTACGGCTGCGTTTCAGAGCTCTTTCACATATAACTTACAATTCGCTTCCACTGTATTACTTGTTCGTCCACTTCTACATTTAAAAAGAAATTAAAAGAGCCGGTAAGATTACGAAAATGCTGAGGCGCTTATTTTTTTTATATTTGTTTTTTTTTGCTTATTGTATTTGAATATTGTACTTGCTTTTTTCCAGTATCTATTTTTTTTATCCCCGCTTTGATTTGTTTAAAATTGTCAAATTGTGAATCTTGGGTGGACTTAAGGGACTTATTTATATTTGTTAGTTTTTTTTTCTTGTTAAATTCTCAATATATTACTACATTGTAGCGGTGGTTAGGTGAAGTAGCGCTGCTAGACCTCGCCACCTGTTCAACTCTATCGTAGTATATTATTTTTGTTCTACTTTAATAAAGGCTATTTATTATTATTATTAATAACTAGTTGCTAGTTACCTGTAGAAAGTACTTATCACCAATAGATCATTCGAACCATTCCAAAAATATTCGGGTTCAAATATCGAAGAATTTAAAGAAAAATAACTTTTTGCTCTGAATTATTATTATTATTATTGTTATCACCACCAGAAGCCGGAATATTTTTTTTCCATAGCTCGCTACATAACCTCTTTCGCGGTTGGTAATTACAATATAAATAAAATAAATAATATAAAACCACCAACGGGAGCAGCATAAAAACAAATGAATGAATAACAGAATTACCAATTTTTGAAAATTAAATCCCGAAACAAAAAAAAAATTATAAAATGGGTGAAAAAAAAATTGAGAAATATGCAATTATGATCCCCACTGGTGACTAAAGCAAAATTATAAAATAAAGTATATATCATTAGAAATTTAATTACGAAGAAATATATCATAAAAATTATCAAAATAAGCTCAAATTTTATGAATGTTGTGAAAACTCGTTAATTCAATGAATAAATTGAAAATATTTATTAAAACATTAAGATTAGCATTAGGATTCCAATGCAAATATCTTCAAAATGGTGCGAGTAATCGATAAACCACCGGAGACGTTTTTTTAAAGCATTAATTTTTCGATAGGAATAAATGAAAATATTTCACGATAATTATTTTTCATCCAATAAAAAAATTTACAACAAAAAGTTACTTTTCTTTAAATTCTTCAATAGTCGACCGCAAATATCTTTGAAATGGTTCGATTTATCAAAAAGGTATAAGAGACCATTTTTGCAGAGCGTTTAATTTCCTATAAAAATTTTCAAATAAATTGACTTAATAGTCGATTGGTATTAAGATATGATTGTTTATATAGGAGACTCAATCGAAAATGCAAAACTCCCATAAGCGTTCATACGTGGTAGGTACTTCCTAGAGCTAACTAGCAACTAGTTTTTGTGTGTCACATAAAAAAAATGTTTTTTCTTACCCACCTTAGGGCACACTATTAAGAATGAACGAGGACCGGTTGGGAGGAGACGTAGCAAAGATTCAAGATTAAGATTCATAACAACATCCCTTTAGGAACGAGTCACTCAAGAAAGAAGTTGAAGGACCTTCTAGATTAAACAGGTCCTAGACCTATTAATAACAATAATAAGAAGAAGCATTAACCTAACTTTGAAGAATGGTTCCTTGCTTAGTTTAAAGACAAAAAGTTCGGTGATACCATAAAAACATCACTGAAAAGAATCGTGGGTAACACAGGTTGGACAGAATTAAGAATGAAGATGAGGGAATGGTGCAAAGTTCACGGTCGAAAGTGGACGTTCACACGATTAAGAATGAATGAAGACCGGTTGGAGAGGAAGATTCAAGACAACGTCCTTCAAAGAAATAGAAGTCGCGGTCTGACCAAGAAAGACGATGAAGGATGCTCTAAAAAAAGCAGATCCGAGTCTAATCTTATTAATAAGTGTGTAGCTTAAAAATTGGTTGAACTGAAGAGGCTTTTACTTAAATGAAAATTATTTATCAAAATAAATAAGAACTAAAAGTTCAGAAATATCGTGAAAATCTGAACTTTTAGAGAGAGAGAGAGAGAGAGAGAGAGAGAGAGAGAGAGAGAGAGAGAGAGAGAGAGAGAGAGAGAGAGAGAGAGAGAGAGAGAGAGAGGAGAGAGAGAGAGAGAGAGAGAGGAGAGAGAGAGAGAGAGAGAGAGAGAGAGAGAGAGAGGGAGAGAGAGAGAGAGAGAGAGAGAGAGAGAGAGAGAGAGAGAGAGAGAAAAGGGTCACTAATCCGGACGATCTTGTACCTCCAACCTCCTCGCCTTTGCTTTAGTGTAAAGGAATCAAATCTAAAGGGCAGACTGGAAATTTTTCGGCAGAAAACAGATACTAAGTGCCACGAGCGATGATATAGAGAAAAATTGGGCGAGAAACGGAACGAGAGAATGATTTTGTTCCTTGACCCAACCCTTAAGAGGGACGGACCTAGACGAAAGGAAAGGGTCGCAGTAGTCAGCCTCCGTACCTCCGACTTCCTCTCATCATCCGCGACGTCCATTTCGTCGTCGACCGGCGTTTCCTTGTCGACGTCCGTTAACTTCGCACCTCTGACGTCGGACGGCCCCGTCTGGTCCACGCCCTCTTCCTCCTAAACACACGAGAGACGCCTCAAAGCGCGTAATACGTAAATCTATCGCAACGCACGCAACCACACACGTCCGATTCGCTCTCGCTCGATGATAATAATAAGAATAATGAAAAAAAAAAAAAAGAGAAAAACAAACAAACAACGAACCACACCCACACTCGTCGGCGTGAGGTCGGCGGTAGGGGGGGGCCCACTAAATCCGATCGCCCCCAGCTAGAAGAACGATACCTAACCTATCGCGCGCGATTTTTGTACACAGAAGTAGTATGAATAAATTTGGTGTGCCTTGTCTGCGTCCGCAGTCGCGACGCCGCCGCCGCCGTCGTCGCCGCCTACGTCGCGTCTCTCGCCGCCGTGGTCCTTCGAAATACGCTCCGCCCTTTTTCGGTACGCCTGCTGCAGGCCTTCCCACTCGAGGCGGGTCGGCAGACAGCTCCACACGTCCGGCAAATAAACAACGGTCGTTTCGACGCGTGGCGCCACCTGTTTGCCCTTGTGCGTCGACTCGTTCCGCCGATAATAGAGCTCGACGAACCGGTACCTAGGGGTGGGAGAGAATATACATCGGGTTGAAAATGGCGCGCGGACGACCGGGAAGAGGTTCCGCGCCCCGCGTCTCTTTCTCTCTTCCGCTCTCTCCGTCTATCCGCCATCTTTAAGCTGAAGAGCAAGGTTTGAGAAAGTCAAGTTTTTTTTGTTTTTCGTTTTCAAGCAGCATATCCTACAAACGTCGGGCCCCGCGCTTAACTTTTTCAAAACTCATCTCGCGACGGGGGGTGGACCTGGACCGTGGTACGCTCGCATTTATACAGGGTGTTATCGAAATGACGTCGTATAAATTAACGGACGAATCGGCCTGGTATTCGAAAAAATAGCACGAAATGAACAAAAAATTGATTAAAGGTTCTTATGTTCCTGTCTGCGCGCAAAAAGTAAGTGGAGTGACCAAATTTGACATAACCTCCTAATACCGTACTGCTTCCTTGTTGTAGCAGCAGTTGACAATTATTATATTCCTGATGTGACATTTACGGAATCCTGACTGGTCTGCTACTATCCTTTCTTGAACTTTTGAAAGTGTAGGAAGGACGATGATAGGCCTACAGTGGAAAGGTTGATTAGGATTTGAAGTCTTAGGAGCATAACAAAATCACATCAAGTGGCAGGCATCAGGGAATTCACTCGACTAGAGGCATTTGTTCATGATAAACGAGAGTTAGGTTTCGAAATTGAAAAGCCATATTTAACCTCCAAACACCAGTGCCGAATTGCCAACACCACAGAAAATATGTCTTTTACGCAGTTTATTATTTGATACTGTTAGACATAACCTAAAAATATCGTACTATTTCCATGTTGCAGCAGCTGTTAACAATTTATTATCCCCCTGCTGTGACATTTACGGAATCCAGACCGATCTGCTACTATTCTTTCTAGAACTCTTTGAAGAAGTTAAGGAAGAGTAAATTTCCACGAGTTCAGGATCCACCCCCCCCCCACCCCCCTCAAATTAACACGAAGCGGGCAATAAGTTCCGTTGCCGATCAGAAATCCTGCACTATGTTAAAAAAATAAGAAAATACGCTTTCATTCGGCATAGCCACTCACCACTGGGTACACCCCGAGAGATCGATCCCAGTGAGAGCCTTGCAGGTCCGGATCGCGGTCTTTATCAACACCGACGGATCCGTTTGAGGGTTTTCTCCGTCCAACGAGGGACTCCAAGGTCCACCTATGGTCATCGTCTCGCTTTTGCCGCGAAGCCCCACCAAAAAACTAATCAGCCTCGATGGATGAATGAAGTCCCGGTCCTCGCTTTCCCTTTCCCGCTTGTCCCGGTCCTCGGCCATGCCGCAACACTTTTGATAGAGTTCCTCGAGTCCTGGCACGCTCAGTAACATCACCTTGGAAAAAAAACGTAACTGCCTACACCCGAAGCTTGGGAACCACCCCTTTCTAGTATTGAGAGTTCAAGAAGCTTTGGAACTTCCTTAAAAAGTTGTTAGAAGAAATATCAGGGGATTGTTCTAAAATCTATAGATATTGCATTGTTTCTTGTGAAAACTTGGAAATTGATGGGTATAGGTTCATAAGTACACGGCTGTTCACATAGTGATTCAGAATATTTTTGAAGAGATTCAGTTGGTTATTAATACATTGTTGGATCGCCCGGATATTTCAGGTTCAAAAATTCCATAGAACCTTTTAATACCAGACTTCAAGGTGGATTGAATATCAATTTAATGGTCCCCACTCATTACTCTGATTGTTACTGTGATTCCAACAAGTATTAATAACAAAACGTCTACTTTTATCGACTAGAAAATTTTGTTTGCGTTACATTTGATTTTGGATCAGATATCTCGTATAATGTTTTTGTATATTGTATTACTAATATACAATATACAAAAATATGTGTCATGTCATGACATAATTTTAATTACTAGCCCTCTGTATCTCTTTGAAGGAATCACATGCTGAACTGATTTCCACACTTTGAATCTTCCATATTGAGGTTTTATTTCGCCTCTTCCATATCGCAAAGCGTTATTTGAAAGGTCGTTTTCTTACTGTGTCCACAAATGCTATAACGCCGTTCCCAAACTTGGAGAAACTGATACCCACATCTTTTAGAAAAAAAATTAAGTGTTTTCCTTATAATGAATCTAATATTCAAAGTATAGTTCTGTTAATAACATATTCTAGAATAGTAGATTATGCAGCTACTACATTAGGGACTGAACTTTGATCTTTTTTTTTAATTGTTTTCCAGTTGCTTTTTTGGCGTTATGCTAAGAAGTGCAAAAAAAAACTATTTGCTTTAAGTAAAGTTATGAAAAGACTAGGAGTTAGATTGTGATGAATCTAAGCAGCGAAGCTTGGCGGCGCTCGGCATACGAAATAGGAGAGAATTTTAAGAGTTATTGGCAAATAAAGGAGTGGTTCTAAATTGTCGAGGTACTACATTAAATGGGATTCTTGCCGCGAAGTCCACACAATTAAAAGAATATCAGTAACTACTCTTCACTCCTCGATACTCAACGTGTTTATGTATTTTTTTTTATTTACGTATGTATTCATACTTTGTGTTGGGCTATTAAGTTAAGATTTTTTTTTGTACGGGATGCATTTCAAAAATTTTCTCAGTAAACTTTTGCGTACATTATACCATATGATGATGATTATGACATATAATGATATAACACAGCATTTTTCAATATTCAACCTTTATTTGTTAAGTTAAGTTTTTCTTTGCAAGAAAAGCATTTCTGCAATTTTCTTCGTAGACTATCAATTATATTTTTTTATAGGTTATACCAAATGACAGCAAAATTTATTATATAACACTGCACATGCATGCAGTTTTCGATGTTTATACAGCAACTATTATTTAGGTTAAGATTTTCTTTGTAAGAGAGGCATTTAAAAAATTTTCTCTGCAAACTTTCAGTTCTAATTTTGCATACTTTATACCTAGGGCTGCAAATGACAGCAGCCCCATTGAAAAACTTTACTTGTCTATTAATAAAACTTAGCATTTGATATATTGACTGAAATATTAGCCTCTTGTCCAATATCACTCCAAGATCCTTCATTTTGCAGTAAACTATATAACGCAGCATTTTTCGATGCTTATACAGAGACTATTATTTATTAGGTTAAGATTTTCTTCGTAAGAGAGGCATTTAAAAAATTTTCTCTGTAAACTTTCAATTCTGTTGAAAAAAATTACTTGTCTATTAATAAAACTTAGCATTTGAAATATTGACTGAAATGTTAGCCTCTTGTCCAATATCACTCCAAGATCCTTCATTTTGTAGTAAACTATATAACGCAGCATTTTTCGATGTTTATACAGAGACTATTATTTATGAGGTTAAGATTTTCTTCGTAAGAGAGGCATTTAAAAAATTTTCTCTGTAAACTTTCAATTCTAATTTTGCATACTTTATACCTAGGGCTGCAAATGACAGCAGCCCCATTGAAAAACTTTACTTGTCTATTAATAAAACTTAGCATTTGAAATATTGACTGAAATATTAGCCTCTTGTCCAATATCACTCCAAGATCCTTCATTTAATAAAGCCTAGCATTTGCAATATAAACTCTATTTATAAAGAAACGATTTTTTATTAAGATGTTCTAGCATTTGAAATATTGAAATGTGAAATAAGGAATGTTGAAATGTTAGCCTCTTGTTCAATATTATTCCGAGATCCCTCATGTTCTAATAAGCGCAGCACACAGGTAAAGGAAATAAATAAATTTAGAAGCCCACCTTCGCGGAGAAGGCGTAATCGGCGTCGGAAGGTTCCCAAACGGCCTCGTTCTCGCCGGGAGGCTCCACCTCTTTGCTCATGACGTGGAACGAGCACGGTTTGTTCAACGCGAACGGTTTGCCCGGCGGGAAAGCGTCCACCCACCGGATCCTGGTCGTGAAGAAGTCCGAAGGGATGTACAGGTTACCGTAGCGTCGCTTCACCTCCAAAACGTCAGCTTCCGGTCTGAAACCACCAGCTTTAACCACTACTAGGAGCCGAACGGTAGATCCTACAAATCCAACGCCGTCTTGGGGATCTGCACCATATATCTGGGCACCATCCTCTGCCGTCTCCTGGATTTCGGCGACCTGGACCTACGTCTCACAGGAGACGATTTCCTCTCCTCCTTTTCCCGTTCGCGCATGCGCTCCTCCCGTCTCCTCTTCCTATCGGCCTCGTCCTCTTCCCGTTCCCTATCGCGCGATCTATCCCTGCCTCTGCCTCCTACGGAGGCTTTCGGCCTGTTGTTCCTCGCGAATCGGTCGTTACCGTTCGAGGTGTCCTCGAAAATGTTCTGTTTGACGGCCGGTAGAGACTGGGATGCGGAAATACCGACCAGGACTTGCACCCGGGAGGCGTTCCATTTAAACGGCATCGACGAGTTGAAAGAGGCCTCGACCAGTACTTTGTCGCCCACCATGGGATTCGAGCCTTTGACGCAAGCGTTCCACGGGAAAAACACCTCGCCGTCTATGAAGCCGAAATTGTCGTGGACCTGCGTCACCACCCCAGTGAAAACCCTCTGTTTAGTCCCTAAAACAAGCGACATCGTCTACGTCAAAGGGTATACGATAAAATGCCGGACATGGGGCTAAATATTTTTGCGGGAAAAGTAAAACCAAACCGGTATGGTACATATGGTAAACCAAAAAGTATTTTATCATACTGTTTACAATGTTTGTGGGGAGAGGGGCTAAAGGAAAAGCATAAACATGGTCTCTTCCATGTTCTTTTAGCCTAGTGTTGATTCTCCAATGTATTTTTTGCCTCATATGCATGGAATTGATTTCATGCATAGGCTCAAATCACATGAAAGAGACGATATCTATATAGAAATCTATAAGCAATCAAACAATCTTATTCCCGACTCAGGTGTTTACCTGTTACGAATATGGGAATCAGTCCTTCCCTTAGCTCCGCCCCCCCCCCTCAAACCTTACATTGAGGAAAGGTCAGTCAGTTCTCTTTATTTTGGCCAAAATTTGAGCCTTTTATTGTCCCAGCTGCGACAGGTTTTGGAAAGTTATCATTCTTTTTAATCTAACTCGATTTTCGTTAACTTTTTTAACTCAAAATGTTTGGAATCATTATAAATAGATCTAATCATTAAGAAAAACGAAACTTAGTGCCGCCAAGTACGAAACTAATTAGCAAAATTTGCGGTTTTGAAAAATCCAATTTTGAACTATATGATGCACCCCTGTTTTTTAGAGAACTTTTGAGTAATATTATGTTACTATTGTGTACCATCTTTCCTAACATTATTCTGTTTAAAATCCAAATCATCGCTCCCTTTCAAAAACAAATGTCAAGTCTCCCTTGAAAACTGTTTTTTTTGAAAACAAAAATGTATTTTCTCACTTTTACAAAATTAATGATTTTTTGGCAAAATTTTGTACGTACACTTGAAAATCGCATGTTTCGAATGTTTACCTACAGGGTTAGTCAAAAGTCGCAAAGCAAAATTAACTGTTTTTAAAAAGATAAAATGTACCTAAACTTTAGTTTTCTTTATTGCCCTAGCTGCGGTAGGTTTTTCGAAAAATTTTTAATCTAACTCGTTAACATTCATTAACAGAGAATTTTTGGCAACACTTTATTTAAAATGTTTCAAATCTTTATATAAGTATACATATACGGTGTCAGGAAATAACGATCAACTAACATGAAAAATAAGAAAATTTTTTCATATAACGTGAGTCAGAAAATGCATAACTTTCAGAGTACCGGGTGTCAAACTTTAAGAAAATTGTATTTTTTTAAAAACATCTGATATTGGGCTGCTTTTTCCCATTCGTTTTTGAAATTAGGCAACTAAAAATGCCATTTTTTTTGTCACTTTAATTTTTTTCGTACCTAGTTTTTGAGAAAATTTAATTTATTACGTGTCCCTAACTGGCAAGAATTAAATTATTCGAACGTTGTTTCCGACCACTGTGTATATAAAAAAGTTTTGCCATTTCAATTATAATGAGCAGAAATATTAAATAATTTTCAAATAAGCACTCTACGGAACTTGAAAAGTCATACCAAATATGAGATAAAAAAATTCCAGCTCGATTTTTTCAAATATCTCTCGCATCCTGTATGACAGATGAAAACTTTTCTTTTTATATTGTTAAAAATTAAAGCAACATTGTATAGATACTATTCAATTATCAGATTTATATTTACTGTTATTACTGTGTTTCTTCATAAAATGTTAAATGTTTATTCTTCGTGGTCAAATAAATGTTTAAGTTACACAGGGTGCCCACAAATAACATTGGAATAAAATTTAAGGAGTAATGAAAAAAGATTTTTTTTTTTCAAAAATGCAAAGTTTTGGTTTGTAAGGGTTACCGATTAGCAATAAATTGCTTTTTTTTTCAGAAAATGAAGATGCACAAAGAATGAGACAGACAAAAAAGTTTAGTTTTTAGTTGCTTAATTTAGAAAAAATATAGAAAAGTCAGTGGCGCATATTTTGTTGAGCCGCCACACAATACACAAGAAACAATACTACGAAATTTCAACAAAATCGGTCAGGGGATATTTAAAATACTAAAAACCCATTTTTGTGTTATTGTGTTTCACTTATGCATGCTTTTTGTCACCTCAGATTTTCAAATATGGAATACTATTTCTGTATATCTCCATCCGCCTTTTTTTTTCAACACCATTCTTTACCATCCCATCAATTTTCGTGTGTAGTTTCAAAAAACAATGAAAGTTTCGTTCCACTTTGTGGATGCGCCAACCTTGGTTCGGTGCGTTTTGCATTTGCGGGTTCATCGGAGGTGCTTGGAAAGCCGTGGGGTTCAGCGCTCTAGGATTTGGATACGAAACGGCGCCGACGTGCTGGAACAACGGGCTCGAGGCGATCTGCGCCGCGTTGATCTGGTTATTCGCCATTTGTTGCAGCCCGAGGCTCAGGTTCGGTTGTTGCAACCCCATCGCGCTTTGAAACACTTGCTGCTGCTGAAACGGCACCATGCCGGCCGCGTTAACCGCACCGATCGCCCCCTGGTTCATCAGCGGCTTCGTGGGGGTACCCATCGCGTGCTGTTTGCCCCATATCGGGTTCTTGTTATTGAAGTTGCTCATCGCTCGATCGGCGAGTGCCGTTTCGAGTAAAAACTAAGTTTGCGTATTTAGAGTTTATTTTCTTGAGCCGCGCATCGCCGCGCGAGCGTTTATTCGATAACAAAAATGTTCGCCATGTTGCCCTGCATAATTCACCACGGATCACAGGTTTCGGATTTGGGTTAGTTTCGACGCGGATCGGACGCGCGTTTCTTTCACCGCGCAAATTGTAAATGCATATGTGCTAATAATATTTTCAAACGAAGATAAAGAACAATGTGGAAAAGAATATAGAATAAACATATTTCCTTTCGGTGGAAATGTTGACCTTGTCTTTATCAGGGTTATCAGGGTATCATAGTATTTTATTCATTCTGGTCTTTCTGAGAATACACACATAACGTTCTTGTCGTTAGCAAATATGTCTTACGGGCTGTTATAGTATCGGACTGAAATTTCTAACGTTAATAATGTGAGCGATCCTTATCCATATCTTCCAAAGCTTCTAAAGAACTTGAATCTCTAAATTTAAAACGTGCATTCTCTGAATTCTTGCGCGTAATTAATAATGATGAGGATATCCTGGACCTCAGTATTGAAAACATAGGGTCTCATGAAGGGAGAAATCTGCCATAGTTTCTATGAAAAACTCTTTACATAGAATGGACTTATTAAAAAAAAAGAAGTCAGAGATCTTCTCAACATGTTCTGTTTAATTTCTAGTTTCTTCTCAAATTTCCTTGGGGTTGTGTAATATGTAGACGATAGCTAAATCAATCTGCCGTTTTCTAAACACTTTAGACTTACAGTGCTCTCTTCTTAATTGATTTTAGTATTGGTTTGATAACGTTCTTGCTAAGTAAATCTCGTCAATGGGCGAGTGTCCCTAGTAAATCTGCCCAAAGGGTTTAAAAAGGGGAAGATTAACGACGAACATGACTGCTGAAGTCAGTGGCGCATATTTTGTTGAGCCGCCACACAATACACAAGAAACAATACTACTAATATAACCAACCTGCACGAGGCCGATCACAATATGTCACCAATAATATTTTAACAAAAAAAAGAAGCATAAAATTTTATTTTATATTCATTTCGACATCAAGAGACTCGAAACCCTAGTAAATTCAAACATGGGTTACGATTTTTATAAAACTTTAATCAAAATTGTGAGTACAGTCTTGTTTTTGCTAGTACGTCTATCCCATAGTCTTATATATGTATAAACAACGTTACGTAAAATAATACAAAGGATGCAAATACTTCCAAAAGTGCGATTCGGTTTGTACTTTCGCGGGCTGCGCCGTTTGGCCATCGGGCGGCGCCACCGTCGCTTCCGAGTTCCCAGCTGTGGCCTCTGAAACACACGCGGAATTTCGATTAAACAATTCGAAGCGTCGAATACGGGGGCCCCATTACATTTCGACTTACTGAAAAGGTGTTCCTCCGCCCATCTCCGGAGCGCTTCCGCCGCCTTTTCGCCTTGTACCCTGTAGTTGGAGCAATATTCTAGCTTGTTCCGTTGTTCTTCTTCTTTTTTACGTTTCTCTTCGAGGCGGTACGCGTCGCAAGCTCTACTAGTACCCTTCCTCAGACAGTACGACTTGTAGTTCTTGCTAGCTTCCCGCAGTTTGACGAGAAAGTCGGGCATCGCGCTCTTGGCGACCCACGTGGTGACCGCCGCAGGGATGTTAACCCCGGGGTTATCGAAATAGGTCAGGCTGAATTCGATGCCCGGTTTTTTCATGTCCGCGTACGGCTTGATCACCATATACGACCAATAATCCTCGACCCGGTACTTATCCGGGTACTTGGGGAACGACGGGTACTCCGTCGTTTTGTTTATTATCACTATCGTGTTCGTTTCGGGTTCTATTTTGTAACGCCGATTGAACACGTAGTCCCTGTTCACGAACAGCCGCTGGAAATAAAGTTGGCCGTTGTGAACGCACGAAACAATCGCAAAAAGTTCGAGTTGAATCAAAAACTATAACAAATACAAATTTAAAAAAAAACACTGCGTAGAGCGTGTTGGGCAAAATTCGATTTTTATTTTAATTGATTTTTTTTTAATTTCGTAAGAACGTGTATGTCCTGCGGTGTCACGTGAACTACAAATCCAACATGACGTGGGGTGGACGCCATTTTTAGTATCAGGTTTATCTATTTGATCGAGGTGATGTTGAGTATTAAATTCCAGCATATTAAGTATATATTGTTATTAGTATTTACGAAACAAAGGTATGTCTTTTTTGAAACGGAAATCAATTTTAAACGAAATTAAAGGCATATGTGTTCTGTGACATTTAATTATTTTACACACATATTTTAACATCTACTCAGGAACATTTTATATAAATATTTAAGAACTACATTCAATGTTTCAAATAATCAGTCATTTCTTTTTGATTTTTTTTTTATTTTATTATTTATTTATTTTCGCCATTTCTTCGAGAGAGGCCTCTTCCCCAAGTTACGTAAAAAAATTTCTCTAGCACCATAACTGAATATAGGGCTTGTTGTAGGCAAAACCTGATCTATCACCATAAAATCTTGCAACTCCTCACTTGTAATGTAATCATTGTTTGAAACTGCTTTATCCACTCGCTTAGTGACTGACCATCTTCCAAGTCCTGTTCGCATTCTGTCTAGGTAATAAATCATGCATGACGATAGAAGTGTTGAATTGTTTCTGCTGTCACCTCTTTCCAAGCTTTACTAATAAAGTTGACTGCATCTAGCATATTAATGGAAAACTTGTCTTCGGACTGGATCATTTCCATTAAAATGATTTTCCTGTATCGACTCTTAATACACTTGTTGTTTTGACGGGAAGAAATGCCAATTCAATATTCCGTAGATTTGGAATATTTAGTTATCTAAGAGAAGTAATATTTTCCTCCCCTTTAATTCTGCGTCCCATTTCCGTATCTCCTCTTCAAAAATTTGCGATGTCATCCATGCAGACTTGTTTGGCTTGTAAGTGACCGGCAAATGTTTAATGTTCTTAAAATATCGTGGGTTAGTTGATTATACATACCGATAAAGACATTCACATAATGGCTTATTACGAGAAAAACACTTAGGACGACCAGGATCTCGGTAATTAGATTATTAGGTTAAGGAATTCTGAGAAGGTAAGAGACTATTAATTACAAGGCGGCCTACATTCCTTACTTTGTTACCTGATGTGCCCTTTTTTACCACCAGAGTTTCGCTATAGGGAGTTTTCACTGTATATCATATTATCAACAGTTAACCTCCCTAATCTAAAAACGTTGACAGCAGTTCCTGTTATAAGGAAAAGGGCCCCATGCCGAAAATCAGAAAGATCCACCCAGTGATTCCGCAAACGGAAACCACTCCAATCAGAGAAACACAATTTTTCAACAATTTTTTTTAATTTGTATAATAAAAAAAAATTAAAGGCTTATAAGACGTTTTCATTTTAGAAGTACCAAGAGTGGAATGTTTTATCTACGAAGAAGGCTGACAAATATCGAGGAAGCTCGAGTACGCTACGAAACGCCATTGAAAGAAGCAAGAAAATCCTAGGTGTAGCAGCACCTGCTCTAAACATAACAAATGTCTCGCTGCTCCGAAAATTCTAAAATAGGCCTCTCATAATAAGTTTACAAATGTAGGCTTCGAAAATATTCTAAGAATTAATTCCTTACAGTCTTCGTAATACTACTGAATATTTTGGTATTGGACACCCACCACCTTCATTATCATCAAATATTCGAATTGGTTCTGCTAATTCCAAAGCTATTTGACCAAATTATCCTCGGTCATTTCGTTTTGAATTAAAATATCCATAACGTCCGTTTCTATTAATTTCTGATAGGTACTGGAGTACAAAGACGTTTCTACTTTATTAACACTTGTTAAATCAGCAGCGCTACACACAAACACTGAACAAGATGTACCTTCGAAAAAATCTATATCTCAAAATCAACACCACCCGAACAAAAATAACACGCCATAACCTCTAAATCTGTCAAAAACGGAAACGGCAAATGACTTGCGTATCGGGAGAAAATTTCGGTCGCACCTGTTTTTTCCCCGATCTACAAATTGTCGTAGTTTGGGTGTAGAGCGATTTGTAAACTCTACAAGAAAGAAATTCAATGGAAAGTCCAAATTCTTAAAGCACGCCATGAAGTTGGTGATAATAAGTAGCGAGAAACGAATACAGGTGGGTAAATAGTATTTTGTTTTATTATTACTTGTCATTTTTACTTAAGTTTCCATCTCGGAAAAGGTGGAAGTATGGTATTCACAAAAACGTTTCAAAATAATTAAGGCATTTATTGTTTAAAAAATGTCATGTCCTTTTTGGTTAGTTTTGGTTAGTCAAAATTTGAATTCATCTGTATTTTATTTATGTTAATGTTTATAATTTTTAAATACTTACGGATTTTTATTTTTTCGATGGATAAAAAAAAATTTCATATTCATATCATATTGTCTTATCTTAGGAAAGAATGTACATGATTTTCAATGTATTTAAAAAAAAAGTTAACCCTATAAATTTAATAAAATCTTTTACTAATTTTTTAAAAGATCCTTTGTGACAGATAACGGAGCAAGAATGGCCCTCGTGAGAAAAACTTTGGAGGAAAAGACAGACTCTTACGACTGCTCTGCACATATTTTGGATTTACTGTGCAAAGATTTACAAATACCAGACGTCAAAGAACATGTAGTCCAAATTATTAAGTATTTTCGCGATAACAGTCCGGCTAAATTGAAATTCAATCAAGCAGCTTGGGCTTAAACATGCAGCACAAGAATATTTAAGCATTTTAAAGCCAATATCGGCTGCTCGTGACGTTTTTCACTGCTGTAGAGCAGTGAAAACATTTACAATATATCTCATTTTATAACCTATATGTTGAACCCCTAAAAGCAAAAACACGAGTGAACACCCGAAGAAAAGTATTTGGCTTTAGAAACAATTAATAAGGTTGAATGCCCGCAGTTTAATAATGAAAAACCTAAATGAATGAGATTTGGAATATATAAGCAGGTACAGAGTAAAACGCGAACCAGTTTCAGTCAAGCTCTGAAGAAGCCAACCGGATGATTGGCGAAACTTCAGCAAGTTTGGAATTGTGGAAGTTTCTTTGAAAGACTATGTTTTAGTTTCTTATGTCTGTGTTGCAGTTATTTTATTTATTTTTTTTAATTCAAATAATGAGATTATTCCCAATCAATATTTTTTGTAAATGACATTATATTCATTAAAATTCATATTACTGGGTGAACCTTTTGTTTTTATTAAACGAACAAAATTTTTTAGGATCTTTTTTAATGTCATATTCAATTTTCGGTATATAGCTTTGAGAGGAGCGATACATATTACAATTACAATAACGTATTGTAATAAAATTGTGCTTACTGGCCACAGCATCTCCCAATAAAGTATGTCGCTGTTCGATTCGACGTCCCTTTCCCCTATTTCCAACTGTACTGCGGTAGCGTCCCATTCCTTCCTATAATCCGAGTCCACTTGGACGTACAAAAAGTCTTCGGCAGTGACGTCATAGTAAGAACCATACACTTTGTACTCGTAGAGGGAGTCACCTCGTAGTCTCCTCCACACTATTAGGTCGTCCTTCTCAATAAAAGGCGTCCAGTCGTCGTACGACTTGGTAGTTACCCCACCGGTACCGCACCTGCACAGAGTTACGTTCCGACTAGATTTGTGGCCCTCCTCGCACGGAAGACACATGGTTTGCTCCTTCAGATTATAAATGTAATCCAAATCCGAGAGGTGCTCTGTGAATTCCGCGTCCCTGATTCGGTTCTCTTCCCAATTGTAAGCTGACACTCCTAGATTACAATAAAACAAAACTGAAATTATTACAACCGATGCAAACCGCCATGAAAGAAATTTCAATCATCTACGGCCCGACATTATAGTAAATGAAAATACCAGAGGTTTTTGAATAGTTATTAAAAAACCTATATTTTTTTAAAACAGGTGGTTCAACTGTTCAACGCGACTTAAACAATCGATCTTACCTACTGCCCCCAACAATAATTCCTTGCCGTTGCGATTGATGGTAACCCTGAGCTTCCTCAAAAATTCCTTGAAAGCCTTCTCCTCCCACCATTTCGAGTACATGCAGATCATCTGCTGGCCGCGGCGGACGCGCTGCGCGAACACACACTCCAACTGTCTGATCCACAGTTTGAGGGCCTTCTCGGGATACGAGTGGGAGAACTTGTATATCGCCATGAGGAATTTGCGGTGCCGCAGGAATCGTTTGATTTTGCCGCTCAGGTCGCCGGATATCGGGTCGGGGAGGGTGCCGGCGCCCCTGTACGCCAGGAACGGCAGCCTACCCAAGTTTTCCGGAACATGTTTGAGGTTATATGGGGACGCGACGAAGTTCTGCGATAACCTTCTCGTGTACATGCTGCGAACGCGATTCTTGACGATTCCGTTGTTACACTTTCATCGTTTAAGAGGGTCCGGGATGATGCCTAGTCCGGAATGTGTTGTTACGAAAAACTGAAATTTTGACAGCGATCTAAATGTCAACATCTATTTTCGGAATAGTTAACAAACGCAACACCAGTTCGCTAATATCGTATTAAAATAGCTTCAAACACTGTAAACGCCCAAAAAAAATTGGTTCAATATAACCTATAACGATGTTTACAAAGTTCCGCAAAGCCAAATCTGCAGCCGTTGCAAGACAACATAATAATATGTAACGCCGCAGTTAACAGTGATTTATTTTTAAAAGGCCTTCAAAAGTAAGTGCATTTTTTTTAAACAATTAACGTGTAATTTCCATTTACCACACGTCGGGAGTCACAGAATGTGTAAAACCAATCCGTGGCGAATGCGCAGGGATTCAATTGCACACCGGCTGCTTTGACAGTTGCTCGGCGGTCCGTTGCCCGTCCGAAAACTCCCGATTTCAACTATTGCTATGCGCGAATCGCGATAACGAATAATTTATTTATTAAAAGATAATGATCTTGTTTATTCGTCGTCCGTTCGCGAAATCGATCGGGGTTAGACTTTAACTGCGACGCGCGTAATATTTTCAAAACGACTCCGGCCATGAGCACAGACCGACAACCCGAAATCATCGTAATCGGCGGCGGGGCTGCCGGATTTGCGGCTGCCACGAGGCTGGCGCAAAATGGCTTCGACGGGGTCAAAATTTTGGAAGCCGAGGGCAGGATCGGAGGCAGACTGCACTCCGTCCAGTTCGGGGGCAGCGTCGTCGATTTGGGCGGCACATGGGTGAGCAGAGATCCCGTCGTTCGGTACGCGTTTTGTGACGTCATCGCGAGCACAGGTCCACGGCGAAACTGGCAACGTGGTGTTCGAAAAGGCGAGAGGGCTCGACGTGTTGAGCCCGTCGTTGGCCAGCAACTACAACGATCTCAATTTTTGCCTATCTAGCGGCGACGCGCTCGACAAAAAGACCGCCGAGAAGTTTTGGAAAGTCGGCATGGCGATTATGGAGAACGAGAGGGCGGCCAATAGTCGCGCCGGCAAATTCGGCGAGTACTTCGAGGAGGCGTGAGTGTTCCGTTTAGGTGGCAACACTGGACCACTCGCAACGAAATATTTTTTCTTTCTTTCTGTTGATCGTGATTCGTGTTGTTGTGTTCACGGAGGAAACATAAAAAGAGAGTGACGGATGAAATCACAGACGCTGAAATATTGTCAGATATCTCCTGGTGGTCCCATTAATTATTTTAAGATGCCGGTTAAAGGATTGGACAGATTTCTTCTTAAAGTCGCAAATCTACGTGTTTGCAATTAAGATAAAATAATTCTAGTATACGGGGATAATGTTTTTCTACGAACGGAACATAAAACGTAAAAACTTGTCACAGATGATTATTTAAATTAGTAAAAAAAAATGTGCTAGATGGATGGGATCTTATTAAAACATTTATTATTTTATATAAATAGATGTATCAGGAAGGCTAAACTGTAAATTTGGATCTATGAGAAGTTTAGACGCTGGAAGTTTATTATCAATAATATTTACGATGTCAAATACAACATAAATAATTCAATCTTTTTAACAATCTGACACTAACATAAGGATAAGCAAAGCAAACAGAGAACTACCGTTGGTTTAATGACTCTCTTTTCTCGCAATATATCACTGGCAATGAACTGATAAACACAAGCCACTTTTTTCCCGCAAAGTTATTTCACTGTCGAAACTTGATGACTTTTGATTTAAGCTCTTCATTTAATTTCTTTTTCACCGAAATGTCTATAGCAAATGGGGTTTTACAAAACAAAAAATACTAAAGGTACCTTAACTCACTTTCTCCACGAACACACAACTCAAAAACGAAATGAACAAGTCAAGAGGACTTTTGGTTCGTTGCTCCGCCATTTCTGACTCAATTGCACAATGGCGTCGCCAGCGCCATCTTTGATTTGTCCCACTTTCTTAATTTGAAATAAATTTTGTTAGAATACTCTGCCTGTAGTGCACCCAGACAGTCCGAATTCGAACGAAGCGAGTTACGAATTACGCACTACTTCGTAGTGGATGCAGAAAAAAGTCGTCCATAATTAAAATGAAATTTAGAGAAAATGAACCAATACTCCAAAACAAAAGTACATTGAAAGTGAGGTTATTGTACCTATAGTTAAGTAAAATGCCTAAGGCACCGGATAAGATCCTGAGAGTGACCACGGACACCATATCGGCCAATCTTCTTCAGATACTATACTGGGCGTTTTGTTTTTCAAAAATACAATTTTCACCCACTTAAATAAACAAAAAAAAATTACGTTATTACCAAAACTTTTGAAAGTCCTTCCCTAATGTCCTTTAATACCCACCGGACCCCAGTTTTAATGTTGTTCTATTGTTTATGTTTTCCAATTCTGTTTTTTTATTAGTTTTCTTTGCGTGGGTTTGTTTTTCGGAAGTTAAGGGTAAATTTAAACTTTCTGTAGGGTTTGAAAATTATGATCTGTGCATCAAGGTCCTTCGATTGTAGGTTTAAGCGAGATGTGAGCGTCGTCGCTTCATCAGACTACGAAAAAACTGCTGCCGATCTGATATTGGGGTGGTTCAAGAAATTCGTGTTGTGTCTCGATCCTGCGGAGTCGTGGAACGACATGTCTGTCAAGGGGCCGTTTTATTTCAAACGCTGCCCCGGCGATCAAATGCTCAATTGGCGCGACAAAGGATACACTACCATTCTCGACATCCTTATGGTATGACCACAGAGCAGAGAAACTGCCAGTTTAAAGTTTAAGGAAAATGCATAGTTTTGGCGATTAATTTTAATGACTTCCGATGATGTTCGATTGTCTTAGTATTTTCTCCGGAAATGCGCAGATTTTTTTTTTGACTAACCTGCTACGATACTAATAAAATTTGACATGGTAGTGTTAATTTGTTATATTGTATTTCAAACGGAGTGCCCCATTTCAATAAGTTTCTACATAAAAAAACATGTCAGCGTACATTTATATTACGAGCCAGGAACCATTCTAATATCTGGTGCCAGATTAATAGATTTGCCCACAGAACGACGTCGCGGATGTCAGAAAACGCGCCATCCTCAGGGAAAATGTTCTCTTGGGTCGCGAGGTGACGCGCATCCATTGGCACCGGCCAGATCGCAAGGTCGAAGTGACCTGCGCCGACGGATCCGCCTACATTGCCGACCACGTGATAATGACAGTTTCCGTGGGAGCGCTCAAGCTGCTCGGGCGCGCGTTCGTGCCGGAACTGCCCGAAAGGAAGGCGGAAGCAGTCGAAGCGATACCTCTGGGCACGGCCGACAAGATTTTGCTCAAGTTTCCGACCAAGTGGTGGCCGGATGACGTCAACGATTTCAGCTTGTTGTGGAGGGACGAAGATAGGAGCCGACTGGTCGAGGAATTCGGTCGCGGTCCTGTCCTGGACGGCAGGTGAGTCGTTTTAATCGCTGATCGAAGATCGGGATATCGAATTTCTCGAGCTTTGAATACAGGGCGGACAAATGAGCGAATATTAGAGATTTACGCTTTTAACATCCGAAATAACAAATTATTTTGATATTTTTTATTGTTAATAAGCTTTACTAGAACAGCCTTCGTAATTTTTCTCCTATTTTAAAATATCAATTTCAGTATTTAAAAAAGTTCTTTTCGCAATAACTCTTGAACGCGTGACGTTATCGGCACCCAATTTAAAGATTTGATCTACTTTCTCCACAAAATACAAAAAGCCAAACTGGTTGACAATGCTGCCGCTAGAGGTCGCCAATACTTTTATACTTTTGATAGTTATTTCAGCCGATTCAGAGAGTAGGTCAAATGCCCAAGAAAAAACCTTCAAACTACTTATCGATTGCTGAAAGAGAGTTTTTTAACATTCGAAGTAACAAATTATTTTATTTATTGTTATGGTTGCTACTGCTCCAAATAATTTCGACATCCAATTCAAAGGTTTGATCTGCTTTCTATATAAAATACAAACTGTTTAATGGGAAATTTACGTGTATGCCGCTTTACTATTGCCGTTACTATTTTACTATTACAGTTATCATTATTTTTCTTCTATTTTTATCAATTGTCAATTTTAATATTTGGTAATAACTGACCTGCTTTCTCCATAAAACTGTTTAATGCTAACTTTATAACTAAAGGGAAAATAATTTCAATTTATTATTATATCTTTACCGCTGTTAATCGTAGGTCATCGAATAAGAGCGACGCTGGAACTTTAACTCAATATGTTTAAGGTCTTATTATTATTATGCTTATTACCAATAAAACATATCGGTGACGGTGATTGCAAAAAATTAGGTCAAGTCCATAGACGTCCGTCAAAACAATGAGATTTGCATTGCAAGTGTATTTATTTCCGTTGGTTTTTGTTAAGAAGAAAATTTTGGTAACATCTTCGATGGTACATTTTTTTTTAAATTAACGTTTGGACTTCCTGTAGCCGGGAGTTGATTAACGGCACGACTTATTGGATCCGACCCAATTTAGTTTCGTCGTTTACACGGGAGGACGGGGTGGGGGGTGTCTCCGGGAACGCTCTAGTTGTGCCCCCCCCCCCCCGTCCTCACACTCTCTTTATACTTCGAAACTCCGTCGGAACTCTTCGCGGAAGTTGCGGCAGCCTCCGGCGACTCGCTGTCGCGACAATTAGCGCCCAGATAGTTGATAGATTGTAATAGCTGCCAACTTGCGTTAGGCCAGTCATCAGAAGCCTAGCGATTTGCACCCGGAAGTTTTCAGTCTATAAATATTTTATAAGACGCACAACGAGTTTTGCATGGAGATATTTAAAAATTTATATTTAAAATTGAAAATTAAAATTGAAAAAAGAAACAAGCAAAGAAGCAGAATTTACTAATAATAATAATAATAAAAATAAATTATCTTTATTTCAAAGCATAATTGCATTGAAATAGTGAAATTTATAGTGCTTGTCCTACATATTTTGAATAAATCTATAGTATTCTTCTACACTATATAGTTGTATTTCTACGAGCGAATTAAAAATTGTTTTCTGTAACATTTTTATATCTCAAATCGTTTTTATGTTGTTCGGCAAACTACTATAACACCCTTCTCACTCACAGTCAGTCTGTGCTTGGGATATGTGTAGTTTTTGGTTCTTGTCCCGTAAACTTCCTGAGACGAACTATTTTCAAAAAGGTTTCTGTTTTTAAAGACGAACAGTATACTATCTTGTATGCAATATAGTTCGCGGGCTCTCTTTTTTCAAATAAAAATCCTTTCTATGTCTCTCTAATATCCATATATAACAAGACCGTATCTCATACGTGTCTCAAAATTACTATGATAAAGCACTTTTTTCGTTTCGTCTTGAAATGCTTAATTTCTGTTGATTACGCTGTTAAAGTTTCCCCAATATAATCCGGTCCACCCTGTATATATTGTAAAGTTATATTTCATATCACAGCCTCCAATTAAATATGAGTTGGCCAAAACTTAAATGAAAACACGCCGACTAACCAAAAATTGAGAAATTTCAACAGTTTTGCTTATTTTAATGAATTAAAATTTTACCTCGCCAGCACTTCATTCAAAAAGAAAAAGAATATATTAATGTAATAATAATAATAATAATAATAACGATAATAATAATAATAATAATAATAGACTTTAACAACAAATGGCAAGTCACAATATCAAACACACTCTAATAACATTCATAGAGAGCAACATAATTATCAGATAGACAAACACCAAACATTGAAACAAAAATTAGGTTAAAAAAAATAAGTAAATAAATAAATTCCCAATTAGTATTATGGAGACACTCGTGACGCAACACGGATGTACTCATCTGCAGTATAGAATGCGTTCTCCAATAGAAATTGTTTTATTATATTACAAAATTTAGTGAATGGCAGATCCTTGACAACGGTTGGTAGAACATTGTAGTAATTAATGTACAATTTATTTAACTCGGATGTGCGCAGCCTAGAATGGCCCTGGACAGTTAATTCAGATCCCTTGGTGTAGTGATTGTGGCGATCACAGTACTTAGGCATATCGTTCTTTAGCTCATGTATGAGAGTGACTGTATAGTAAATAAATAGTGATGGTAAGGTCAAAATATTAAGCTTTCAGCGAGCAAGAGTTCAAGTTTTTCTACAAATATAGAAAAATTGCCTCTAGAGCCAGAGCGATAAACATTGATTAAAATAAGATTAAGCACTGGTATCTCCACACCACAAAACTCTGCGTGAAGATCCAGACAATTAAGACAAGACAGATTAAGACTGCTACAGGCAATATTATTTTTAACATATATAGCAGTTCCTCCTCTGGAGGTACTGAGACGACAATAATATCCAACTAATTTATAATTGTGAACCTTAATAATATTAAGCAACTCCTCACCATTTAGAAAATGTTCACAGAAACATACAATGTCAAAACCAATAGAATTTAGATATTCAGTAACCACATCGAGTTTACTTAGGAGACCCTGCACATTGTAGCTCAAGATATTAATGCTGTTCCTACCTCCATCGGTAGTCTTGGGTCGGGATTCTCCCTCACTAGACGTCTCTCTGTTGATACTGGAATTGGATCGGTTTTTCCTCTTGTCAGACGCCTGGGGAAAAAATGATTTATCAACACACCCGTGGGCCAAATGGAAGTATCCAGAATTTTTTGCGCTTCGTGATCCATGGCCATAATAATAATAATAATAATAATAATAATAATAATAATAATAATAATAATAATATTAATAATAGTAGAGTATAATAATAATAATAGTAAATATAAATAAAATAATAAACTTTACTTGCCAATTCAAAAATCACATGCAGTATTGTGAGAAGAATCCTTGGACTGCTGGAAGGACATTTTTAATGCCATCCGAAAGCCCACCATCTTGTCAGCAGACCGATGTGACAGCTTGAAGCACCAGAAAATCTGTGAAATTGTGAATAATAATAATAATAATTATTATTATTATTATTTTATTTATAATGATCATTATATGGCGTTAATTTCTTCATACAGCGACAATATGTAAATAAATTTCCAGATGAAGAAAGGGCCGGAATGTAAATAAATTGTTCTCATACAACCTGTCAATAAAGTCAAAAGTCAAAAAAATTGGACGTTAAGAGCTTTTCTATGAACTAGCGTTGTGGAATTTTTTGTGCCAATTGACCGAAATAATTTTAAAAATACAATGAAATTAATATTTATTTATTTACATTTATTTATATTGTGTGTTATGTCGCCGTCACGTCTGAGAACTAAATGTAGTCGATATTTTCATTGGTATTCAGGTATTCTTTCAATGATATTTCCATTAACTTTGCAACAGCAATACAATTTTAAACAGAATAAAAATAATTACAACCAAAGCCATTAAATCATCTCCAATCTTTTCCCTTCTGCATCTGGGTCCTTGTTCTCTAAAACCACGTAAAGTAAAGTTAGGTACCAACACCTTATCTGCAACATTGTAGTAACGTGAACGGCGTTGCTTATCAAATTTTAATTTTGTGGTCTGTTTCGATTATAATAAATTATTCCTAGTATCTCAAATTGAAGTTCGTAAACAATATTTTAATTATTTTCGATAATCATCAAAAATTTTTTTAAAATGCCATTCAAGGGCTCACAACTCATTTACAGTTCGGTGTTCATTAGGTATAATTTATGTATTAACGTCGTCCAAACACCCTGTATATCGATTTCAAGGTCGTGGCTCGAGGATATCTTCGGTTTCTACACCGTCGACAGTCACCCCAACGTCCTGTTGGGCTGGGTGGTCGGTCCCATGGCCAGGCAGGTCGAGCTGCTCGCCGACCAAATCGTCCTGGACGGCGCCATGTTTTTGTTGAGGAAATTCGTGGGGAAACGTTTCGACATACCCGAGCCGGACGGCATTCTGAGGTATACTTCCGCCAGAAATATAGTGCTTTTACAACCGACCCCGTGATTAGCTTTGCCTACTGTTTATTACTGTAAAACCGCAGCCTCTTATAGAAGATCCTGCCGAGCAGATCCATACCCGTAGCTATTCCATTCTAACATTGAAGGCATTTTTTTTAAAAACCTTGGTGGAACCAAAAAACAAAAGAAAAAAAAATACTGCAGAAAGAAAAGAGAAAACATAATATAAATACCATAAAAATAAATAATAACTCTTGGATTACTAATTTCAATCTAGTAAGCATCCAGAGTAAATGTTGATATAAAAACTAGAAAATAATCATTTCAGTTTTAAGTTAGTTTTGGACTGCTATTTTTTGAAAATGGAGTTGTCTTGCATCGAGCATACTTTCCCTTTTCCCTTTTATAAACAGTTTTTAAAATCCATTTCTGTGAAATGCGAAAATTTGAAAATTCGTCTAAGTGATCTAAGTTTGTTTGCGAAATATTCAATACTTAAATTTACTACGAGATTTGATGTCAAGGCTACTCGAGTTAACTTGAAATTTATGGGTATTTTATTGCTATAGCAACTAAAAAGCATAAAAACAGTTTTTGTAAAGTTCATGCTGTTTCTTGTAGTTAAACCATTTAAGTATTCTATAAAATTATCTTGTATTTTGTCTCATAGTATACTTCCACCAAAAATATAGTTTCTTTACAACCGGCTCCTTTACTAACTTTGCCTACTGGCCCTTCTGAATTTCTGATAAAATTATAAATATTCAAAACAATTTGTTTAGCATCCGAAGACAAATGGATCCGTTTTTTTTTTGTTTGCTGAGGTAGTTTCGTCTTCTAAGTTGTCGATTACTATCTCCACTTCAGCTTCATCTACTTCATTCCACGATATCCACATTTTAAAGTGTTAAAAAATAGTAACTTCCAAAAAATGTTTAATTGTAAGATTATGACGTACTTTTATCTACCGCTAACAGATAGATATTCACAAAACCCATTGCAATGGATGTTTCGTCACAAAAATAACATTAAAATGTTTTAAAATAGATGAAATTGAAAATGTGTATGTCTTACAATAAAGGATAGGATAGTATAATCATATAAGATGTGTATATAAGAAACAATACAAATGCATCAATATAACGTTACAAACATTTATTTAGAACATGAGCTTCGAATTGACTTAGGCTATAAACAGCATTGCTTGTCAGAAGCATCTTAACATGTTTCTTAAGTTTCTTGTTAGTGTGAGAGATTTTCTCTATTACGAGTGTAGTGACAATGGCTATCAATGTGTTTCTTATGTAAATATTTATTTTTGTGTGTAACTAGCAGTATTTTAAATAGGTATATACAAGGAACCGTCATTATTTTGTGTTACTAAAATATTTCTTTGCAAGATTGCCTCGGAGAAAGTTTAAAAATTAGCCTAAGTATTCTTTTCTGCTGTACAAACAAGCTTTCAGCATCACTAGCTTGTCCCCAATTCACAATGTTGTAAGAGGGATATGCCGAAACATAATAAAAGACTAATAGTGATCTCTCAAGAAACGAGAAATGATCCAATTATTAATAGGCCCTCTTATACCTAAAGATTCCAATTTTTCCGTACATTATATCCATCGTGCTTATCATAAATATGTTGGACAAGCTTGATTGTGCCCGTATCCGTAGATCACTCTTCGCGGAAACCATGGTGTAGGTTTGAAATTATTATTTTTTGCTGAATTCAGTTGTGCTCTAGTGTACAGGTCAAAGCTCGAGAATCAGGTACATAATTAAATACTTACTGGAAAGATCACAGTGAAATACCTCTGTAAGTGTTGTTGTTTATAAATAATAATATAAAGAAGAATGTTGTTAATCGACACGCACACAAGACAAAAATGATTACTTTCAAACTAACCTGTAAGAAAAATTGAGTACAGGTACTTACCTTTATCCTTTCTATCCAGTGAAAACAACCTCGCTCGAGACTCAGATCCATAAATACGTACTTACTGGAAGGATCACAGTCAGATACCTCCGTAATATATAAGAACATAAGTTTCAAATAAAAATTTCTACAAATATTATAAACATACTTAATGCAGAATAAGCATCTGTTGGGATGGGTCTTCCCACGGTCCCGCAAAGGCACAATAAAATACTTAAAACGTCGAAGCAATAAATGCACTATATTTCTGGTCGTACAATGCAGTACAATACCCCCCCACCCGCTAGCGCCGCCCGCCGATCGGGTTACGGTTAATTATGTTAATGCCGAGCGTGCGGCGGCGTTCCACCCGCCCCTTTACCCTCCACCACCACTCCATTATTTTCATTAACGCTAAAAGCAAGTTACCCGGAGGGTGTGCGTGAAGGGGGTGGGGTGGCGGATAAGGAGAGCACGTCATTTGTTTCGAAGATCGAAATGGGGCACGAATCCCCACTTCAACGGGTCTTATTCGTACGTGAGCGCTCGTATGGAAGCGACTGCGACGGCTCGGGAAGACCTGGTGGCCCCCCTGGAGGTGGACGGTAATCCGGTGGTGCTCTTCGCCGGGGAAGCGACCCATGCGACCTTCTTCTCGAGCGCCCACGGCGCCATAGAGTCGGGGTACAGGGAGGCGGACCGTCTGATCGATTGGTACAAGTAAGTGCCGCTCGATGTCGCTAGTAGTTCGTTAATATAACCTACGTTGACTAGTAGGGTGGTTTTATTTGGCTAACCCCACATCCAATAACGCAGTAGGCATAAGGTTTCGTATCCCCCCAGATTTTTTACTTTTTCTTAAATACTGGCTGTTCCGTCCTCGTATATTATTGCATTTGTAGAAAATATTTACTTTTGAGATAATTGCTTCTGTTATTTGTTTTTTTCCAATCCAAGTTATGATATTTTATTTAAATGTAATGTACTAGTTTGTTTGTTTGTGCGTCCTCATTTTTCTTATATCTTACCATTTTCTTTGTTTTTTTTTTCAAATTTTGCCTCTTCTGCATATTTTCAGCGTCTTTTCTTCTTTTATATCTAACAAGTTTGTAGAAAATGTTTGCTTTTGACGTAATTTCTTTTCTAAATTAAAGAAACTAACATTTATATTTCAATTCAGTTTCTTGCTTTGTGTAACTTTTTCTTAGTCTTTTTCTTTTTTTTTTCATTTTATTTGCATTTTTAATTATAACCTTTTTCTTTTCTTTTGCTCTTTTTTAGCGTCCTTTGGTCCCTAATATCCAAAATATCGTGGGAAATATTTCCTTTTGATGTAATTTATTTTGTTATCTGTTTTTCTCGATTCAAATTTAGTACTTAGGAATTGTAAGTTATAAATTGTTTTATTCAATTTTTTTTTTTATTTCGCCTTTATGGCTCCATGCTGAAGAAAACGTTTAGTATATTGCACTACAACAATATCAAAATTTCACCATTTTTCATTTGTTTCACATTTAATGGGGTTTTAAAAAATATTTTTTGGACTATTATAGGCGGGCAGGTTTGGTATATATCATTTCTCTATTAATACATATGGACATTATGAATAATGAGAGAATATCAGCTGTTTCAAATCAATTTGAGTTTTCAATGTTTTTAAAAGAAAAATTGAATGCGTGTCGTTTTTTTTAATGGTGGGGAACTTAAGCGTTGGTTCGGCGTCATTTAATGGTATCGTATAGGTACTAATTCAGTTAAATGGAGAGTTATTCATTCTAGGAAAAAATTAAAGCCAGTGGCGTTCGGCATTATTATCTTCCGCTTCAAAAATGTTAAATCTAGTTTTCCCACGGCGTCTTCTGCCCCCCACCCCCGCGCCGAAAGCTTGCTAAATCAAATTGCCTGACTTAATGAAAAAGGCAATAAACAAGCTTTTACCGACACGTCTTGCGAGTTTAAGCCGCTTACGTTGTTGCATCGCTATTCCAGTCACGTAGAGACGTAAGATTGATGAGACAAGCGACGTCGCTTATCTCGTCGCCCTGAAAATGCAGCTTCTCGCTCTATTTTTTCCCGTTTGACGGATTAAACCGCAACAGGCCCTGTGACGTGTTTCCCGCGATGATTCGCTGTTAAAAAAAACTGGGAACAAAAACATAGCCCAGCGTTTGAAAGCAAAGACCGCGACGTCACTACACAGTGAATCAATATTAAACGTCAGGCAAGTGGATACTGAGATTGTGATGTCTTAACTAAAGTATACTCGCCAAAGTCATATTCAAGAACTTTATTTTGTGTGTGAAAATGTGAGATTAATATTTTTTTGTTTTTACTGATGTAATTTAAAATACATAAATTTATTACTTAAATGAAAATTGTTTCTATACTAAGATTGTTTAATTCGAAAGGAAGGACATTTTACTTCAGTTTAATTTTCTCGATTGTTGCTTTCTATAACGTTTTCGTAGTTATCTTTTTTATCGTTCTCTTTTTGTTAATTGTGGCTCTTTTTCCCTTCTTTTGTGCTTTTTTATGAATTAAAATCCGAAAAAGATGCTAACATTCATATTTCAATTTAATTTTCTCAATTTTTACTTTCTTTAACTTTTTCTTAGTAATTTTTTTCTTTTCTTATCATTCTTTTTGTTTTTTTTAATGTTCAATCTTTTTCTCTTAGTTTGCGCTTTTTTGGCGCCTTTTCGCCTCTGATATCTGAAATTCCTAGGAAATATTTATTTTTGAGGTAATTTCTTTTATTACCTGATTTTCCCTAAAACGAATTAAAATTATATAATGTTTTATTTTACAAGAAAACTAAAATTTTTATTTCAATTTAATTTTCTCGATTGATACTGTTTTTATTTTTTCCTTAATCATTTTTTTCTTTTTTATCCTTCTCTTTGTTTTCTTTTGTAAATTTTGGTTCTTTTTCACTTGTTCTGAGCTTTTTAGTGTATTTCCTCCTCTGATAACCAACAAATTCGTAGAGAATAATTATTTTTGACGTAATTGCTTTTGTTATCTGTTTTTTTTTTCCATTCCAAATTAGGACGTTAAAGACTTCATAATGATGCATATTATGTATTTAAATTTGATTTATTTGAAAAAGGAACTAACATTTATAAGTCAATTTACTTTTCTTCAAACTTTTATCAGTCATTTTTTCTTTTCTCTTTATCCTTTTTTAGAATTTTGACTCTTTGTCCCTCTTTTGCGCTTTTTCGTGGCCTCTGATTTCGTGACCTTTGAGGTAATTCCTTATGTTGTCTCTTTTTTTTTATATTCCAAATTAAGGCGTATTTAGTTTTGAGGCTTTTCCAAAATTTACAAGACAATTTAATTTTCTTGATTGTTACTTTCATTAAGTTTTTCTTAAATATTTGTTTCTTTTTTATCATTCTTTTTGTTTTTTATTTTAACGCTTCTTTTCTTCTTGCGCTTTTTAGTGTATTTTCGCCTCTGATATCCAACACATTCGTAGAAAATATTCATTTTCTTTGTATTTTTAATTATAACCTTTTTCTTTTCTTTTGCTCTTTTTTAGCGTCTTTTGGTCCCTAATATCCAAAATATCGTCGGAAATATTTTCTTTTGATGTAATTTCTTTTGTTATCTGTTTTTCTCGATTCAAATTTAGTACTTAGGAATGAAGCCATTACATGTTATAAATTGTTTTATTCGAAAAAAGAGACTAACACTAATTTTGTAATTTATTTCTCTCGCTTGTTACTTTCTTTAGCTTTTTCATGGTCTTTTTTCATCATTCTCTTTGTTTTGTTGTTTCTTTTTTCTCTTCTTTTGCGCTTTTTTGTGTCTTTTGGCTAAAAATTAATAGAAAATATTTACTTTTTATGCAGTGTCTTTTGTTATCTGTTTTTTCCCCAATCACGAAACATCGTACGACATTTTTAACTATCGCATCGTATATCACGCCCCCCCCCCCCCAAAAAAAAAAACATATAAACACTTTTTTATGACTAATCCGCGTATAATCAGAGCCCGGCGATCCGTGGCGATGGCGTCAATTTAAATAGAGGATTTAATAGGGAGGGATCGCCCGACATGTTTAATCCACTATTAGACGAAGGTTTGTTAGGGATACGCCGAATCTCGTCGACCGAGGTTTAACCATTTAAGGGTTTTTTTAAATTATGGCGATCGCCGAACGGAGCTCTCATTATCGTTCCTGGTAGCGATTAATGCGGATCCGGGTCAAATTATCAACGCCAATATGGGTCGCCTAATGATGTCTGTTTTTGCGACCTTCGAAATTAATTATCTCACCGCCGTTACGACCTCTAAACTCCGCTCTTCACATAACAGTTTATCAATTTCTCCATTTCCCCTAAAGCAATTGTTTCCGGCAACCTGGAAATCTTTACACCTCTCCAATTTCCACCAGGAGGCCGGAATTTCATCGAATAGTCATAGTGGGCGCGGGTATGGCCGGCCTGGGAGCAGCGGTATCGCTCCGCGATCACGACTTTGTCGTCTTGGAGGCCCAAAGCAAACCTGGTGGTCGGATAGACACCGTCTCCATCGCTGGCAAACCCATCGATCTTGGTGCCCAGTGGTTGCACGGCAAAGACAATCCTTTGTACGAACTGGCTGTAAAACATAACCTCATTTGCGACGAAACTTCGGAGGAAGGTCTCGGCATATACGTGAGAAGCAACGGCGAAGTGCTCGACGACTTCCTGGTGCGAGACACCAACTTTCGTGTAGGTCTGATCCTCGATGACTGCGCCAAATTGCTCGACTCGCCCGACCACTCGCCCTCTCTGGACGACTTTCTAACTCTAAAATTCCGCGAGGTCGTGCTCGACGGTACCGCCGATGACGTCAAACTCGAGCTGTATGACTGGCACAAGCGGTTTCAAGTGATAGACAACTCCTGCGTCGATTTGAAAAGACTCTCGGCTAAGAAGTGGGGAGAGTACGTATGCCAGGACGACGTTGCTCATTTTAACCTCACATCCGGCTACGAAGGGCTGATCGACGTCATCGTCGACGCTCTTCCGCGCGATAGTATACGGTACCATTCGGAAGTGACTCGCCTAGACTTCGTTAACGATCACCAGATACGGGTGGTGGTGAACGGTCTAGACCACTTGGTCTGCGACCATTTGATCTTAACACCGTCGCTTGGAGTGTTGAAGGAGTCCCCCCACCTACGTCAGCTTCTTCCAGAGGAAACTAATGACTGCGTCAAGCGCCTAGGCTTCCACGGGATATCGAAGATCTACTTGTTTTTCGACCACAAATGGTGGACCGGGAAGGGTTTCCAGCTGCTGTGGACAGAAGACTGCGATTTCGAAGAGAAGGACACGTGGCTACGCCACGTGACAGGCTTCGACGAAGTTCTGCACCACCCTGAGGCGCTGATGACGTGGGTTGGTGGTGAGGTCGTCGCGGAGGTCGAGAACTTGGACGAGAACGACATAGGACGGCAGTGCGCCTCTCTGCTGGGGAAGTTTCTGACCGGGTTCTGCAGGGTACCGTTCCCTATCAAGGTGGTGAGGTAATTTTTCAAAAAATCTTCCTGTAATGCGGCTTACAAATCTTCTGGAAAAGTTTGACGTTACCTTAAAGTTAGGTCGAGTGCAAATTTGAAAACCGCTTTATACAAGGTGCGCGCACCAAAAATCCATCGATTTTGCGAAAGTCATAGTCGCTTCGCAGCGACGAGATCGCGAAAGCAATATCGTTTTTTTTTCACAATGAAAAATCAACTCTTGTCAGCATTTTATGTTTTCAAAAGTTTGGCGCGACTTTGAAATTATCTCGAGTGCAAATTTGAAAAGCACTTTATACAGGGTTCACGCACAAAAAGATTCCATTGATTTTGCGAAAGTCACAGTCGCATCGTGCAGCGACGAGATTGCGCAAGCCATTTCCTTTTCCTCGCCATAAAAAATCAGCTGTCAGGATTTGACGCGACTTTGAAATAAGCTCGTGTGCAAATTTGAAAAGCATTTTATACAGGGTTCACGCACAAAAGAATTTCATTGATTTTGCGAAAGTCACAATCGCATCTTGCAGCGATAAGTTATCGTTTTGTTTACTATAAAAAAAAAACTTTTTCCGTCCTGTATAATCACGAATAGTTAATTCAAATCGCGTGATCTGGGTTCTAAACCGTTAATTTTAGGACGAGATGGTTGTCGAATCCGTACGTGAGAGGCAGCTATTGCCACATCACGCCCGAATGCGACGAGATGGACGTAATTAGACAACTCGGAGAGCCCGTCGTTGTGGACGGGATTCCTCGCGTGCTATTGGCGGGAGAAGCGGTTCATCCGTCGCATTATTCCACGACTCACGGAGCTTTCGAGTCGGGAGAGCGGCAAGCGCGGGTTATCCGCGATTATCTTCGCAAAAGTGACACTTGAGTCGATGGGAACGAGCCTGAAACTTCAATTTAATGGCAATGGGAACTTTTTTCATCTCTAAAATTTTGTCGAACGTTGATCGTCAGAGGCGAAAGAGAAACGATGATGTAAATATCGACTTTCATTTTATGCTATATTGTTGCCTTTTTGGAAAATATAGGCGAGGTAGGAGTTGCGGATTTTTATTTCGGTGACTATAGCTGGGAGCCGTCTCTCCTCTTCAACTAATGAAAAAATGTAAATCAAAAAGAATTGAATGAAATTGAAAAAAAAAACGAATTCATATAAAAAATGCAAAGAACTTGAGAAAAAAAGTGTTAAAATTGAAAAGAAAGGAAAGAAAATTGAAAAAAAAAAGGAAATAATAATGAATAAAGCAGAAAAAAATATAAAATAACAATAATATTAAGGTAAAAATAGTTGGTTAACATTAAATGAGTAAATATAGTATAGAAATTATTATGTGCATTTGAAATAAAATATTAGATAGTACATATTTTAAATTAATCACAATTTAAAAAAACATTCTTAACATTGAAATGAAAAGGAAAAAGGTGAAAAGGAGTGTTTTAGATTTTCGAAATATTGAAAAATAAATTGACGAAATTTTTTTTCAATTTTTCACAAATTGACAAGAAGTGAAAAAAAAAAGAAAAGTGGATTAAACAAAATTTTATAAAAATATTTGAGAAACTGCCATCAAATAAGTATCAACGTTGACAACGAAAGAAAAGACATTTCAAGTGTATTTTGAATTTCCGTGATGTTGAAAAATGTACGAAATTTTTAAATCATTTTTGACAAATTGAGAAAAATATTTTCAATATTGAAAATGGGAGAAATGAAAAATAAATTGGAAGTGTATTTTGTAACAATTCATGAAAAAGAAAAAGAAATGTACGAAATTTTGTAATATTTTTGAGAAATAGTTAATATTGAAAAGAAAATGAAAAGTAAAAAAAGTTAAAATTGAAAAGAAAGGAAAGAAAATTGAAAAAAAGAAATAATAATGAATAAAGCAGAAAAAAATATAAAATAACAATAATATTAAGGTAAAAATAGTTAGTTAACATTAAATGAGGAGTAAATATAGTATAGAAATTATTATGTGCATTTGGAATAAAATATTAGATAGTACATATTTTAAATTAATCACAATTAAAAAAAAATTCTTAACATTGAAATGAAAAGGAAAAAGGTTGAAAGGAGTGTTTTAGCTTTTCGAAATATTGAAAAATAAATTGACGAAAATTTTTTTCACAAATTGACAAGAAGTAAAAAAAAAGAAAAGTGGATTAAACAAAATTTTATAAAAATATTTGAGAAACTGCCATCAAATAAGTATCAACGTTGACAACGAAAGAAAAGACATTTCAAGTGTATTTTGAATTTCCGTGATGTTGAAAAATGTACGAAATTTTTAAATCATTTTTGACAAATTGAGAAAAATATTTTCAATATTGAAAATGGGAGAAATGAAAAATAAATTGGAAGTGTATTTTGTAACAATTCATGAAAAAGAAAAAGAAATGTACGAAATTTTGTAATATTTTTGAGAAATAGTTAATATTGAAAAGAAAATGAAAAGTAAAAAAAGTTAAAATTGAAAAGAAAGGAAAGAAAATTGAAAAAAAGAAATAATAATGAATAAAGCAGAAAAAAATATAAAATAACAATAATATTAAGGTAAAAATAGTTAGTTAACATTAAATGAGGAGTAAATATAGTATAGAAATTATTATGTGCATTTGGAATAAAATATTAGATAGTACATATTTTAAATTAATCACAATTAAAAAAAAATTCTTAACATTGAAATGAAAAGGAAAAAGGTTGAAAGGAGTGTTTTAGATTTTAGAAATATTGAAAAATAAATTGACGAAAATTTTTTTCACAAATTGACAAGAACTGAAAAAAAAAGAAAAGTGGATTAAACAAAATTTTATAAAAATATTTGAGAAACTGCCATCAAATAAGTATCAACGTTGACAACGAAAGAAAAGACATTTCAAGTGTATTTTGAATTTCCGTGATGTTGAAAAATGTACGAAATTTTTAAATCATTTTTGACAAATTGAGAAAAATATTTTCAATATTGAAAATGGGAGAAATTAAAAAAAAATTGGAAGTGTATTTTGTAACAATTCAGGAAAAAGAAAAAGAAATTTACGAAATTTTGTAATATTTTTGAGAAATTGAGCAAAAAAAATTTTTAATATTGAAAAAAAAAAAAGAAAAGTATATGTAAAAAGTGTGTTTAGATATATTGAAACATAAATTTACAAAATTTTATAATATTTTCTGAGAAATTGAGAAATACTGAAATTAAAGAAAGAACATTAAAAAATATATTTCTAGTTATTAAAAAAGAAATATATGAAACTTTATAATAATTTTTAGGAAATTCAGAAAAATACTGTTAAAAAACTTTTAAACGGTGTTTTATATACTTTGAAAAAGAAACAAACGAAATTTCATTATAATTTTTGAGAAATTGAGACATATATAGTTAGTAATTAAAGTGCAAGAAAAAAAAATTAAAGAAGCAATATATGAAATTTTATAATAATTTTTAGGCAATATAGGCAAATATGATAAATATAACAAAACACATTTAAAAAGTGTTTTAGCTACGTTGAAAAAGAAAAAAACGAAGTTTTCGAATATTTTTTGAGAAATTGCGAAAAATATAGTACATATTGAAAGTAAAGGAAAAAACATTTTAAATTATATGGAACTTAGCAAAACAAAACATTTATAAAATGGGTGACGTGTGTTTTGGTTGCGCTGGAAGAGGAATAAATGAAATTTTATAAAACATTTTGAGGAAGCGTGAAATATTAACAAAAAAAATGAAACGTGTATTTTTGATTTTGTAAAATAAATTGAAAAATCTTGCTCGAAAATAACCATGACTAAGAAAAAGGAAATAATAAAAAAAACTGGTAAACGTTAATTAAGCAATAGACAAGAAAAATCTATTATTTTTTTTGTTTGTGTGTGAAATTATTGATAAACAATGGTCAAAAAAATGGACGAAACGACGAACTGCCTTCCCTTTCACCCGCTCCCCGGAACGCGCCCAATAAATCCCGACCGCGGTCGGTTTTCCTTCGAAACGAATGGGCGTAAATTCGCGTCCCACCGCTGCGGTTCAGGCCGCCCCACCGCCGCCCCCTTAGAACAACAGCAAGCGGCTGAAAATTTACAGTTTCCGCGGAACTCGGTCTGGATTTTCCGTCGAACGGCACCTGCGCCCTGTTACTTTTAATATAAAAAAAGCCGAGCGGCCACCCCACCGCCATAATGAAATTTTTATTTCACATTTAAATTTTATTACCCACGCAAAACTCGACCCCAAACCCGCCCTGGGGAGGAATTTCGGGATTTTTACGGGTTAAGTGAAAGCGTATGGCATCTAAGTAAGGGAGTAAGGGATTATTTACTTTTAACGTATCAACACGGATTCCTAAAAATACGAAGGCCTTTGATATATCAAAAAGAGAGAGATGGATGCTGTCCATCCTCCAATTTCCCCAGTACGTCATGGTGTAGCGCCTTTTATTTAGTTTCAAAACAATTCAGAAGTCAAAAATTGTAAAAAAATATAAGCACGCGCTATCTACGTCATCATGGCAGCATGGCAGAAAACGATGTCAAGTAAAATAAAATACCTTTACGCAGGTAAGAAATAAGTAAGTAAAGTAAAAAAACATTACTTTTACGGAGATAATAAAATTGAGCTTATCGTAAGGTAAAAAAAATGACCTTTACGGAGGTAACAAAATTGACCCTATCCTAAGGCAAAAAATTATGACATTTACGAAGGTAAGAAAACTGACCCTATCCTAAGAAAAACAAAGCATTACGTTTACGGTAAAAAAAAACATGACCTTTACGGAAGTAAGAAAATTGACCCCATCTTAAGGTAAAAAAACATTACTTTTACGGATATAAGAAAATTGAGCTTATCCTATTGTAAAAAAATGTTACCTTTATATGGAAGTAAGAAAATTGACCCTATCCTAAGGTAAAAAAAATCATCACTTTTACGGAGGTAAAAAAATTGAACTTATTCTAAGGTAAAACAATATGACCTTTGCGGGAGAAGAATTGAGCTTATCCTTAGAGGAAAAAAACATGACCTTTTTGGAAATAACAAGATTGGTAAGGTAATAAACATGACCTTTGCGGAGGAAAGAAAAACATTACGCAGGTAAGAAAATTGACCCTATCTTAAAGTAAAAAAACATTACTTTTACGGAGATAATAAAATTGAGCTTATCGTAAGGTAAAAAAAAATACCTTTACGGAGGTAACAAAATTGACCCTATCCTAGGGCAAATAATTATCACATTTACGAAGGTAAGAAAAAGTGACCCTACACTAAGAAAAAGAAAGCATTACTTTTACGGTAAAAAAAACATGACCTTTACGGAAGTAAGAAAATTGACCCCATCTCAAGGTAAAAAGAATTACTTTTACGGACATAAGAAAATTGAGTTTATATTACTGCAAAAAAAATATACCATTGACTCTATCCTAAGGCAAAAAACATAACATTTACCGAGGTAGGAAAATTGACCTTATCGTAAGGTAAAAAAAAACATGGCCTTTACGGAGGTAACTAAATTTACCCTATCCTAAGGTAAAAAAAAAAACATTACTTTTACGGAGGTAAAGTAAAACAATATGACCTTTGCGGGAGAAGAATTGACCTTATTCTTAAAAAAAAAACAAGACCTTTACGGAAATAACAAGATTGGGAAGGTAATAAACATGACCTTTGCGGAGGAAAAAAAGAGCTTATCTTAGGGTTAAAAAAAACATTACGGAGGTAAGAAAATTGACCTAATTCTAGGGTAAAATAGGCATAACATTTACGGAAGTAATAACCTTTGCCTTATTTGAAGGTGAAACCAGAAATATGCAAGGTATTTACAGAGGTAAGATATTAACTTAAAAAAATGCAATTATTACCTCTGAATAGGTCATAAAATGGTTATTTTTATAATTACGGGACCAAGGCAAGAATTATGAGCATGAGAATTGTAAGTAAGTTAAGTTAAGTCAACTTTATTTATTTAATTGAAGTCTTTTTTATTTTTGAAATTTTGAAAAATTATTTGTAAGATCTTAAAATCAAAATATAGATATGTATTTGTTATATTGTCACCGCATATGAGGCGTTCTTCCACTTAACACAAAACTATTACCACTGATGAGGATTTAATAAAATAGAGAGGAAACAGGACTGGACCCAATACAGTACCGTGAGGTACTCCTCTGTTAATGTTAATAATACATATAACATCTGCTGATCGTCCACGTTATGCAAACATCCTGTAAATATTTAACAATATAAAAATGTCAGTGTATTCCACCAATTTTTTTCTTTAAGTTTTTTTTGTATCTAATACGGATATAGGATAGAGTACGTGAATTGATATATTTGCCCGAATTCGACGCTAATACGTCCCCTGTGACCTGGGATCGACGTGAATTCCGCATTCCTTTTCCTCATATTTACTTTTCTGCGAGATTTTTCCGGAGTTCTTGAATAATATATCATGTTTCGCTAGCACAAATATTCAAGGAGACAGACATGATACGCCGCGATATGGACAAGAAGTGTCCGTAAGTAGTGAGACTATGTTGTTTCCGTGCCAATTTTGGAGCACCTGCATTTACTTTCCATTTTGCCAGTAACAACCGTCAAAGTCAACTGTTTCAAATTCAATTTGAACATTAAATACATTTACGAAACTTAACCAGATCTTCCAGCAAAGGTCTAACTGTTCAAAAAACAGATCATGGAGGGAAATCTTTATTAAAGATGCATTAACACATATGAAGTTATTCCAACAATTTTACAAGATTTAGGCAATCTTCTCAAAATTAGAAATTATTCATCCAAGTAATATTCAAATGAAAAACTTGCTTAACTAACTTTTTATTTTGCAAACTAAAGTAGGACTTATTTTTGAAAAATGAATTATCTTCTTGTAATCCCAATAAGGTATACAACATTTTTTGAATATTTACATATCTCTTCAATGCCCATAAGATATTGGTGAGTATTTGATATAAAGAAGCTACTAAGAGCCTATTCGTCTGTACTCGTGAAGAACATAAGAAAATGAAGAAGTACTTTCGAAATCGCCTTGTTGAATCCAAATGCACAAAAAACAAACTGCAGTAAAACGCAATTTAAAATCACCCGATTAATTGTCAATCAAGTACCAGTATCTAGCCAATATTGACCTGCCAAGTATACTAGCACAAAAAACTCTTCGGGAATATTCATCTAAAGGAAATTAAATTAGATGAACTGAATAATTTAAGTGTACGGACCATCATCCTCTACATTATCATAATTGATCTCTCACTGCTTGTCTGCAACAAAAAGTTGTTACAGCCAAGATGTAGTAAATCCATCAAGAAGTAACCAGAATAAGAACCCAAAGATGAAAGATGCGTCCAACTACTTTCTAAGGGAAGAGCTGAAGCTTACTGGAAGGAGTTATCTCATATGTCCTAGAATTTATTTAAAATTAAATATCTTCATTTTAGGAAAAAAAAGTGTCCGATTGAAAGAATTGCTTAAATATTTTAGGTCAAACTTGTAAAAGTTTGTTTTGTTTGTTTTTCCACAATTCCGGACGTTTTCTTTGTATTGTAATACTCTTTATTGATCATTCGACATTGTGGCAAGAACTCTTGATGTACCACGATAATCAAAGAAAACAGCAAGCAAAACTTTGACATTTGATTGAACTGGACGTACTTTTTTCGGTCTTAGCGAGTCTGGGTTCTTCCATTGAGACGACTGGACTTTAGTGTCGACGTCATAACCATGTACTCATGATTCGTCACCAGTGACCTTTTTGAGTATATCAGGATTTTTTAACACCATTTGTTTCACTTCTTCAACGCATCCTCAGCGAAGTCCGTCATCGGCTATCTTGGGACAGCTTGTATCACTTATAAATATTTTTTGGACAAAGTAGATTCGCCATATGCTTTGCAGCAGAGTATTCCATGTTATGCACAAAATTTTATGCTAATTCTTTCTTTTTTTTATGCAGAAAATAGCCGAGCATACGAAACACTTCTAACGCTTCTGTCTTTCAAAAAAAAGTAAACTTGCAAACTTGCTCACTTCTAACGTTTTAGCGTGTAATAGCAGCATCGTGCTCATTCGTATGGCTTTGAATCGGCTTAGCAATCTACTTATTCCCACCAGTAACTGAATTTTCTTTTTGTGTTGACGTCGCGGGATCTTTCAGCGGTTCCCTTCGGTATTCTTAAACCTCCATTTTTCTAAACCCCAAGGATATATCGGACGAGGACGTGTCAAGATCTGGAAAAAAACCGTTTGTCCCCGTAAACCAATTTGCTCGTCTCCGAAGATTCCCAAACCCGACACCTTATTGTTTCCGTCCCTAATCTCGTTCGCATATCCCACCCGTCTCACCATTACCTAGGCTACGGCGTAACCTACGCAGGCGTCCGCCTTTCCCCGCCACCTTTCAAGTTTGCGCGGGTTAATATCGCCTGGAGCGTCGCCGACGATACAATCGTTTCGCGCGAACTTCTCAGTCGATCGCGTGTGTTCGATGTCCCGATGATGGCCCCCGAAAACGAAACATTCACCCTGAAAGACCACAGCGACGTGCCCCCTTACATATGGGAGATCGCTCACCAATTACTCTTGGGCGTCGACGATAAGAAGTTGGACCTACGCGAACCCCAGCCGAAGAAGTCGCTCGAAAGCGCTGCAGCGTACATCATCTTCGTGTACGGCCTGCTCGCGGTTTACGGCGTCTTTTCCAACCTGATGTTGTTCGTCCATATCCTCCGGTACCGCCTCTACAAGGACCCCACGTTCAGTTTTATCATCAACAACGTCGTGAGTGACGTCATGAAATGTGTGGTGGTGCTGCCGATGACTCTTTACGTGCTGCTCGTACAGAACTGGATGCTTGGTGAGCTACTCTGCACTTTTCTTCCGATGATACAGGTGAGCAATCACATTCGTCAATAAAATATCGTATCTTTTAGTTTAGTTTTCGCCAGCACAGCATTTCTTCGTTTTCTATGTCGGCATGCAATTACAGAAGACTATACATTATCTGATGATGATTTATAGTCAAGACGTCAATTTAATTTACATCGGCAAAGTGGCAAAGCTTTTTTCTAAAACTTGTATCAACTGCGAATATGAACGTTGACTGATTCGTCGGCTGAAATGTCGAAGATTTCGCGTAGTGTTTCAAGGTAATGTGGTGACGGTAGTTGTTGGTGTTGGAAACCAATAGTAGATTACCATCGACTGCATTTGCGGTTCCTCACGCAAAGCTTATTGAAGTATTAGATCATTATGGTATCAGAGGAATGGTCTCAAAAGGCTTATACAACAACAGCTTAATCTTGCAGCCGCAGCTCAATATGATACAGAAATGTATTCTCAAAATTATTGTTAAACAAAAGAAACAATGTCCTTCTCGCATGTTGTTTTCGCAAAAAATTATAAAAATATAAAGATACATACAGTTCTTTTGCGACTTAAAAATCGTTTTTGATTATGTAATGCAAGTTATAGCAATATTGGTAGCATAGCATATTTGTTAGTTAACCCACGATAATCGTTAAGGTACGACTCCTACTACTACTAGTACTATCTCGCTTATTTTTTTAAGATGTGTTACTTTTTTTGTGAGATTAAATGTTCCGTCAAAAAAATTATTATGGCCATTTTGTTTTTTGAGATGCAGAGTGTGTCCGTGGTCTTTTAAGTTCCAGTTTCCGCGGCTTAGTTTGTTTTTTACCTGCAGTAACTGTTTATTGTTTATTTTTTAATGAAAAATCTTGTATATTATTTTTTAAAATAATTAGAAATCATTTAATTAATTAATCTATTAAAAATAATATCCAAGCAAATAATTATTAACAAACAACTCAATACTTCAATTCAATTCGATTAATTAAATATATTTTGTACGCTATGAACAGCTATTTTTAATAATTTTCAATTCATTGGACTAATTACTTATTATTACTTTAATTATACAAAATAATTAGTATTTTTTTTATTTTTACAATTATAATTATATTATTATTTTAATATTAATATAATAATAATATTATGATAATATAATTATAATATAATAAATTATTATAATTATAATATTTGTAATATATTATATATTTTATTATAAATTTATTATAAACTATATTATATTAATTATATTGCAAATATTATACCTAAAACCGTTGTTCAAATTGGAGACAATTTTCTGGAATGAAAAACTCGCACATTTTCCTTTCGTAGAGTTTCGAAAGTTAAATCAATTGCTCCTTGAAGTTCTGCTACAATCTTGTACCCTGTTTTATATACTTCATTTGGCATTTATCCCCATAAAAATAAATCTAAAACTACAAGATTGTGATATTGTGGACGCCATCTTACAGGTCCGTTTTTACCAATCTATCTAAATAGTCTTAAAATCCAGGGTTATGACTTGGGGCACTATCTTATAATGTACTAAGGGAATATCGATATCTGGTAATTCTAGTATGACTTCCTAACGAATGTTTAGGCACCTGTGAGACCTCCTTCATAAATTCCTCCATTGACCTCCATTTGCACCAAGACATCCATGGATTGACTTCAATGCATTGGAAACTATTGCCCTTTGAATTTCGGTTGGATCAAGTTGTCGAGAAGCCTGTCTGACATAGCGTGCCAAATATTCTATTGTTCCAACTGGAGTTTAATGCACTCTTTTTTTTAATTGTGCCCTAAAGGCAGGTACCAACCGGTGGCGAACGCGGTGGCCAATCGCATCGGTTTTCAAACATAATTGTAAGTTCTTGACTTACTCTATTTGTGCAATGAGCTCCACCAAGTTGGTACCAACATCTGCGATGTTAACGCTAATAGCAAATTGTCTAAAAAATCCGCAAAATATCCAAATATTTTTCCTCGGCATTCCAATTGGACCTTATCGTATGAACGCCCTGTATGAGATACGTTAATACTCATATTATATTATAATATAATAAATTAAATATTATGTTAAAGACATTGTAGAAAACAGTATGAAAACACACTTTTTCACTCGCATCTGGGACTGGGACATATCAATATTTTCATCATTTTCGAGAAAATTCATCTCAAATAATGTAATGGCGTCTGCATTAAGTGTTCGGTTGGGCTTCTATCGGTCGCTGCACTTTCCGGGCTTCACTCGCGAGCTAAAAGCTCGTCAAAGAGTTTCGCATATGAGCTTTGATGTTGGAAATCATGTAATTTTTTCTTTGCAGCTCGAAGCGAGTGATCACGCTCTCGCGATACCCGCTCACATTGGTCATTTTCGCCAATTTATGCTTAAATAAATAACGCTTTTAGAATTTAAATTAGTGTCTAAAACAAAAATAATTTGTTTGACGTGTGGTAATGATATCTTGTTTCATGTTACGCTTGTACGTTTTCGTTGATAATGTGTCACTCATTGCTGATCAAAAAATTAAAAAATATCGTTTTTCCGTTAGCAGATTTAGAATTATTAAAAAGCTACATTTGTCATAGAAGACAGTCTGTGGAAACAACTTTTAAAAGGCAAAATGCAAGGTAATTTTGTAGAATACATAAAATGGTTTAACAACAACAAACTTAGCATAAACTTCACAAAAACTTACACCAATTTTCAGATTTTCGCATTTCACAAAAATGGATTTTAAAAAATTATTTATAAAAGGGATAGGTGTTACCTAACAACTAAAATTTTCAAAAAATAATAGTCCTTAAAACTTAACTTAAACTTAAACTTAACTTAAACTTAACAAAAAATAACAGTCCTTAAACTTAAAGCTGGAATAACTCGCGAACAATCAATAATTTCAAATTTATTAATTTCATCCATTTATCCATTATTTGCTTATGATTATTTTCTGGTTTTTGTATATACATTTACCCTGTATTTTTACTAGGTTGAAATTAATAATATGAGAGTTATTGTTTATTTTTCGCGAGGCATGGTTTACAAGAGAATGTAGATTTACCTCAGCAGATACGTCCTTTATTATAATGTAATTTTTGTTTGGACCACATTTCTTCTTAGCCTTAAGGAGAATGTTGTAGTTCGTGTAAACGTTGGCATTTCGTAAAAATTGGCAAAAAGCAAGAGCCATCATGGAGGGAAAGGATATTGCGTTTTTGATTTTGGTTGCTCCTTCAGCTGAATATTGAGAAACTTCTTTAAGAAGATATTTTTAACAATGGAAATGTTATTTGCTTTTTACGTAGGTTGCCAAGATTGCTGAAGGGCTTCGAAGGTCTACCTTTGCTTTTTCGTAGTAAAAAAACTCCAAACTAATGACAGCAATTTGACAACTGGAAATGATTGAAACGAACTTTGGTATTGTTATTGGCATGGCCACCTCTGTTAATATTAAAACGTAATGTCGTAGAAATAATATCCACGCACCCCAGCTCCAAGATGTATTGCAAAAAACATATTTTTTTCTATACTATTTTTTTAAATTTATGAATCCCTGTGCGGCGTAGCGTTGTTATAGCATACATTTCCAGTCTCTTCTCCTTATTCTCCTTAATTTCCGCCTGCCGCGTTAAAATTTCACTGCGACGCTCTTATAAGCAATGGGCATCGGTAATGCATAGCAAGCAGGTATAATCTGAGGGAAATGTAGCTCTTTCGAAAAGTTTTTCAAATAGTAGTGGAATCTCGTTATCTTCGGTATGCGCGTATTGGGTTCGAATTTGACAAGGAGGTAGAATATGCGAAAGAGATCACGTTCGATCTGATAAAGTTCCCTCCAACTTTTAACGGAAATATGCAATATGGGGGAAAAACCGTGAATTTTAAGAATAGAACACAATAAGGTGACTTAAAGAATGATTTAAAAAATACCTGAACGATATATGGGGCACAATATTTCCGATCGGTAGGACTGCAGCGGTTGATGAATATCGTCTACGATTTCCCAGATTTGTAGAATTGTTTTTAGCAACGTCCATCGATGTTTGAGAGAAACACGCAAGATTCCTTTCAAGAGGAGCTTGCTCAAGAAGAAGCAATACTTAATACGATTGATGCGGTGAATATTTTCATTATTTACGTTTCGTTAAAAATGATCTTCCAATATTACTTTATCCCTTTCAATGGCGCATCTCCTCACTTTGGTCGACAAGTAGCAGAATTTTTAATCGACATTATACACACCGGTGGATTGGAAGAGCTTCAGCAGTTCCTTGGCCAGCTAGGTCGCCTGTGCTTAATCCCTTAGATTACTTATATATATATATATATATATATATATATATATATATATATATATATATATATATATATATATACAGGGTTTTTCACTTAAAACTCCGAACGCCAATAAGTCTAAAACGAAAAGAAATATTTAATTTATGTAAAAAGTAGTCAAAATGTGGGGTCAAGTAGATATTTCCTAAAGTTTAAAAAATTCGACGCCTGCAAAGAGCTGGACGTCGCGACGCGTCGAAAAATTATTCGATTGCAGAGACTTTGGAAATACGCGCATACAAAAGTACATATTATTTAAAAACTTTTTTGTTATTTACTCAAACTTATTTACTTTACCCGTTTCTAAGTTATACCGATTTAAAGTAAACATTTCTTGATTAATAAAAAATGTGATTAACGCTTATTTTTACAAGTATGCCATGAATGTTGGACTATGGCAACCACTGTTATCGCAGTTGTTTTAAGTGCAATTACAAACGTAAGTTGTTATTGCTGTATCAAAAAATTGTCACATTTTGTCACAAGAAATATCCAAATTTGTTCGGTTAAAAAAAAACTAAGAATTATTATGTGAACATGGTGCAATTTAGCAATGAGGAAAAAGTAGACATGTTACTGGTGTTTGGACAATGCAGATGCAATTGTAGAGAAGCAAAAAGAGTTTACGCACGGCGTTATCCGCATAGAAGAGTCCCCGATGCAAAAACCTTTTCAAGTTTAT